GGCCTACCATTCATCATACCCGGACTCAGAGACCGGCCACGTTCCTGGTCCTCAGGATAGCCCTGAGCTGCGAACTGCCGACGTGGGCACCTGGCAACGCGATGATCGGGTGACCCACAGACAAGACACAAACCAAGTCTACGCCGACAATCACGCTTGACATGGCCTAGTTTATTGCAGTGGTGACAAGTCACTGCTAGGGAACGTTCACGCTCATTAAAGCTGATACCACGACCTTGGAAAGACGACCTCTCAAAACGCAAAGGCGGCATTGAACTAGAACGAACTCCCGACCCAGAAAACGAAACAAACCCGGAAGTTCCAGCCTGACATTGAGTTGCTGCATCCGCCTTTCTGAGGGACCCAGGCCGCACACCTGCCTGCATCACAGCCCACGAGGACTGAACCTCATCAGCCGAATCATCTGTGGTCAGAGCTTCCTCGAGCCCTCCAACAAGCTTAACAATTTGTGTCCACTTCAGTTTAGTTCCCTCAACCACTTTGGCTAGGCTAATGGAACTCTTGATTTGTTTCCTGAACCTACGTGGGATAGAGCTCAGAAACTTTTCCTGCAAAGTTTGGCTATTCTCTACCTGCTTCTTGGGGTAGGCAAGACGGAAAAGGTTCTCGAGTCGAGCTGCATACAGGCGAATTGATTCGTCTCCGCGTTTCGAAGCTTGGCCAAACATTGCCCTACTTCCAGCTTCACGGCGTGACTTAGACTCTTCGTACCATCTGAGCATCTTAGCTTTGATTTCCCCATACGAGTCAGAAGGAGCTCGATGTGCCAAGAACGCATCGTGCATGTCACCGCTCAGATAGCGCCCAAGCTCTGCAACCCAAGTCTTGTCACTACCACGAAAGCTATGCCGACAGTAATCCTCAAAGCTCGACAGGAAACTGCGGAAAGAATGACCAGTGGACCTATCATATGGCTCAGGAGCAGGTACTGAACGCGTGTCAAGGCGCTCTAACGCAACAATTAGCCTCTCCTCTAGCGACCCATGAGCAGCACGCAACGAAGCCAACGACTGCCTCTCTTCCTTGACTGGTATTCCAGAAGTCTTTGCCTTGAACAGCCTAGGTTTAACGTTACCCTCTGACTCAGAGCCAGACACTCCCTCGAACGAACTCGCTCCCACGGACGACTCAGACTCTGCAGTCATGGCCCCACGGACCCGACTACCATGTTCAGGAAAGGATGTGCCACTAGCGAACAAGACCATCTTGCCCTTCAGCTTCTCAACAGCCTGATACTCTTCACTTGGCAAGTCACCAGCCCCACGAGAGCTCAAAGCTGTCATCACCCTGTCAACATGACTGCGCATCTCCTTGACCACCTGAACCTGATCCTCAAAGGCCTGACTCTCTACTGGATCAGACTGACGAACCGCCCCACGAACCCTAAACTCCAAGTTACCATCAACAGGACCAACAGGAGCCTCTCTTAAACCAGCCGACGGGTTCATCACACTAGGAGCAACAACAACAGGAACCTCAACTCCAAATCCACTCTGGCTCGACTCGGCATGACCCAACTCGTCATGAACCTCCTCAGCCATCCCAATCCAAAAAAAAACTTCTTACTTATTCATATGCCACCATGTGGCCCCTAACAACGTTGGTAAAAAAATGCGCCGTGCGCTGTACTTTAGAAAGCTAAAATAGTTCTACTATTTTAGTCGACAGTATACGCGAGTATATTGACGACGCGAGTCAAACTGACAATAATAAAATGTAAGACATGTCCAGGTTACTTCTGACTCTTCCGGTTGTCCGCCTTGTCGGATACGGAATGTACGGTAATCGTAAACTGCGGCTGTTACACATACGAAATGTAAACAGACGGTGTTCAGTGTTGCCATATGACTTTGGAGAAAATTTCTTCTAAAATAAAGATGGCCGGGATTGCGCGAACACATGCGCGAAGATAATCAATTTTCATTACATTGCGCCAACTGTGCACAGCAATAGCTCAAAAAAAGTGAAAATGTGCGGGAAAATTCACCAAAAACATACATCATCCTGAGTGTGGAAGTTTTCTGCTACCACTTTGCAGCTCCAGCGCTCTGGCTGTTGCTGTCACTCAGCCTGTCAGGCATGACTGAGAGTCTGGAAACAGCACTACTACCACCAGAGTACACTGTACCCAGCTACTTTGAGACTTGCACTGTGTTTTTGGCTTTTGGCTTATGGAGTTGGTCTTCATAATATTTTCAATTTAAAAATGATGAATTTTTATAATTTTTCTCCTTTTTATTCATAAATTAATTATAGCAATCAAATGATCACAAATTATAAAATGTCAGTTTTTAGCAATAAAAATTGCATTTAGACGTATCCAATTCTTTCTCATACTATAACCAGGGTTGGTACTTTTTTTTTATTTTTTTCAGCTTTTTTGTCTTTTTTGAAATGTAATTTTTTTATGTTGCAATTAGCCTACTAACAATAACAGTATATGGATTGCTAATAATATGTGTTTAAAAATTACTTTTTAAAGAAAACACTTCTGAACAATCCAGTGTCTTGGATGTTACACATGTACAATGAATTTTTCATCTAATTTTCAAAAATTAAAAAATTAAGTTTTCAATTTTTTCAATTATATATAAAGTTTTTTTAATATATAATTTTTTTCAAAATTATTTATTCTGTTAATTGATTCATGCATTGCCTCTGACTTCACACAAGTGTGCAAAATTTCAGATCAATTAGATAGGTAAAAGTGTGTCAAATATCAGTTATAAGATTTGGAGTTGACAAAATTATTTTTTCAATTTTTTTTTAATTTTGAAAAAAAAAATTAATTTATTAAATAATTTATTTTGACATTTGATTCATGCATTGTCTCCAACTTTACACAAGTGTGCAAAATTTCAGATCGATAGGATAAGTAGAAGTGTATTAAATTTTGATTACAAGATTTATAGCAGACAGACAGGCAAACAAACAAACAGACAAACAAGAAGTGAAGTTAAAGAGAAGTGTTGTAATAAAATACTTTGAAAACTTTTTAAAAAACCACGTTTTTCTGAATGGAATAAAAAGTAGAAAATAAATTATGGTTTGCCCCAAAAAAATCGTGTGTCCGGCAGATTTATGATTAAAGCGAAAAGCACACAACACTTAAATTTTGGAAATTTGATGGTGAACGTACAGCCCGACCCACGTTTTTTTGGGGCGAACCATAATTTATTTTCTACTTTTTAGCCCACAAGAAAAACGTGTTTTTTTAAAAAGTTTTTTTAAGTATTTTATTTTCTACTTTTTAGTCCACAAGAAAAACGATTTAACCTATTAGATATGCAAACTTTTTAAATCTTTCTATTGTGTTACGTAGCCTCAGTATTAGGCCTTTGATGGCCATTGACAAAATTGTTCTATGTCGAATCGTTTTTGAGTTTTGGGGGTTTTTGTTAATAAAACGAAAAGTGGTCAAAGTTACCCCGCCGGTCAAAGTAACCCCATTTTACGGTAGTGACATACAGTGGAGCTAGTTGACCAGATTTATGACCAGAGGGGTGTGAAGCATAAAGAATTTCCAAGGATATACCAAAACTAATTTTTATAAACTTTCATGTTTATATTGGGGTAACTGGGGTAACATGTTTATATTGGGGTTTATAAACTTTCATGTTCCCAATTGGGGTAACTTCGGCCACTGGGGGGGGGGTGACTTCAGCCACATCTACAATAGAAACAAATGGCAGCAAAACAAAATAATATGTACACATTGGCCAAAGTTGCCCTGGTGGCCAAAGTCACCCCAGTCACTTTGGCCAATGTTTATTATTTTGTTTTTCTGCCATTTGTTTCTGTTGTAGATGTGGCCAAAGTTACCCCAGTTGACAGTAATATAGATGATTGTAGAGTGTAGACTTCTTCAAAATATAAACTCTATTGATCTTCCTAGCACAACCTTATGCTGCCAACTCACATGTCATCTACAATCTGGAGGACCTAAGAACCACATGCGGGAGGTTCACAATAAGACCATCAACTGAGCAACATTGGAGGCCTGCACCAGCATAGTTATGTGCTGCCCTAACACTTCAAGACTGGCAATAGCTAGGGCATTCAAAATCAAGACTGTTTCTCCAGCTATCAACTTTCAAACTACAGGATTTGTTGTGATGCTGAAATTATTTTTGGAGTAATTTTAGGCTTGGAAAGGTTTATATAAAAAATTTTATATATATATATATATATTTATATATTATATGCATGCATGGTATTTTGACTATTAGAAAAATCCCTGTCGTACATTTCCAAAGCTTTAGAAAAGATGCCATTGGCATCTTTTCTAATAAATTGTGATGTTCAATATTGAGTTCATCATTATAGAACAGTTCAATATAATGCAATATTCCCCTGTAAGAGTTGTCATTTTGCTGTGCAGGGGTGCTTATGTGTTATTGAATTAAATTAGATATGCACTTATATTTATTTTTGTTCTATGCCACATTTTATAATGCTGTTTTCTCAATCATACCTAGTGTGTGCTGTGTGGTATTGACTATAACACAAACTAGAGTTGTTTGTGTGGCAAATTTGGTTGTGTGAGACAGTGAGAGCCTGAGAGGCTCCCTGAAGTGATAATTATTATCACTAGTCTAGGAAAGGCTTAAGGTGCTGTAGGTATTTATGACTAAGCTCTTACGTGAATCACAAACTTCATTTCTTATAAAAAAGTTTTCATAATTTTTTACTCCACACTCCAGAGAATTGAGGCATACATATAGAATTTACTTAATTTCACAATATGTACATGAAGGTATAGTTTATACCTACTCACCAAATTTGGATGTCAAAATTTTCACAATGAATCAGAGTCCTATTGTCAGTACCTACTTTTCATGAAATTGCGTCTAAACTAAATAATTATCCATGAATTTACCATCATTTGGTGTATAGGCACAAATAGCATTTTGGCTGCTAATTTAAAGAAATTATGGAAATACTTTTTCATGCTTTTAGTTTTAAACTTATTATTTCAGAACTGAGTGGAGTCATAGAGGATGATGAAGATGATGCACCTCCACCATCATCTGCCAAAGCTTCCCCCATCAACTCAAGAGTTGAGGATCTGAGAGGCAGTGAAGGCAACGCTTCTGCCAAAGCCTCACCAGCCAGCAACACGTCAGGCTCCAACAAAGCTACGCCAGTTAAAAAAGTAAGCATGTCTGAAACACATCTTTGTATTCTGACCTCCAAGTTAGGGAAACATGATTCAAATAAAGCAGGACAATGTACCTATATATTTATTATAATTAATTCTGTCCCTGTCTGATTTATTCTAAGAATTATACATTTGTTCCAAGAATGTGAGTGAAGTGACAGGAAAATTGTTGTCCCTGAAACAATTATCTTAGATGTAAGTTCTAGTTTGTATTCCAGTTTTTAATATTTTTTTCTGGTGATTTTTTCACACAAACCTCAATGAAATGTTGATAATTGACATTCCCTCACCAAGTTTCTTTCTCTCTGTAATGGGCAACACAAAGGGGCTGTTTTGCCTATTTTATATATACGTTTTATATTTTCTTTACCATTGGAGTAATGGAAGAAATAATTCTCCTTACCATTTCTGTAATAATTCATTTAAATGCCTACTAATGATTCCATAGAGTACTTGCTTGATAGCTCTTAAGAACCAAAAATTTCCCAACTAGATAATAGAATCATAACAACGGCATTCACTATTTAAATCATTGCGCTGACTTTGAATAATTTCACATAAACTTTGCCTATTTGTGTACCCGTTATTTTTGAGACCTGGTTGAGAGGTTGATAAAAATGGACTACAGGACAGCTATCTTGTGCCTGGTTCCTGAATTCAGTATATTTTTCAGGTGAACAGACTCGTGTCGTATGCTAATGAGGAAGACGATGCCAGTGAGGGGAGCAACTCTGAAGATGATGAGGGCAAGTAATCAACGTAGTTCTAATGCATGCTCATTTATTTAGTTTCTATGATAAATGTAATAAGGGCTTTATTTTGGTCTGCTGATGGTAATAGAGTAGCCAGAACATGATAGTATTAACATGCCAACAGTAACATGCCAGCAGTAACATGCTGGCAGTTACAGCTTAAGTGCCCTATATAACACCAATTAAAAGTATATACCTATATATAAGGTACCGTATATACCGCTGATCTCTTGAGTTTAGCACCTGTGTACAGTGGAGCAATTTTGAAAATGAACAGCAAAAGTTCATCATTTTCATTTTCAAGTGCTTCATGCAGCTTGCTCCTTTTTGTTATGAAGGTAGTTTGTGACAATATAGACATATTAAACTAGATGATTTACCAAGAGTAGTTGTTGATATATCTAATTTAACCAAACTATATATCTAATCTAACTTAACTATATCTAATATCATTATACATATATCTAATTTAACCAACCATGTGCAGTATTGCACTCGGAGCCCATGGACACCGGCACCGATGATGACACCAGCCAGCCACCAGGCACACATTCCGGTGACTCTCGGAGTGCCTCGCGCCCCTCGTCTCCTGGTGGGGGCATCACTGTCACGGCGTCTGGACTTGTCATTATTGATGGCATCAAACTGCCCCCTGCTCCTGTGGGCAAGAAGTGCTCTCAGGCTCTGCAGGTCAGCGGGAAGCTTTTGTTACTTTTTTTAGCGCATTTTCTCATTTATGAAAAAATGCACTATTGTGCTCGCCATGTCCGTCTGTCTGTCTGTCTGTCCGTCCGTGATTTCATGTTTTCGTCGACGAGAAAATGTGCTCTCTGTCACTCACTGCAGTCAGTACTGAGTTATATTTTTTTTGCATTAATTTATATTTCTTGCTGCGGGCATCTTTTGTTTATGGTTTTATTTGCATTAATTTATATTTATTGCTGAAGTTCCTGGATTTCTGACACTCTGGGTTGCGTGTTTCTGATGTTAGGATTTGTTGATCATCTAACACTATCATTGTAACGCTCTGCTTGCCTACTGAGCTCACTCTGTTTTAATTGTTTGAACTGAAGGTTTACTGAACTTTATTTTCAATTGCAATAGAAACTTGAAAAGCCAGAGAGCAATAGATAAATTTATAAACAAGTATTATGTAGGTATTCAATCAGGAAGATATATGTATATATATAGTGATCAGCATTTCAAATGAACTTTAATTAATATACAATAATTTAAATAAAAACTGCTGAACAGTTCCAAAAATATAGTAGATGAATTGTGGTTGTGGATTTTGAATGGTAAAAAGTATTATCATAGCCTCAATTTTTGAGATATAATATATATAGAGTTGTTTAATTGTAACATGTGCAATGAACGAAACAATATCCCAGATTTCAATTTTAACTGTCCCAGCTGAGAAAAAACTGTGTTAACTAACGCAAATTAAAATATTCATCAAAGTACTGCTTGGTACACACTTAGAGTAGGTACACTTGTTAACTAATTAGTTCAGTACTTATGATTGGTATAGCGCTTCAGATCAAGCTATATTGCGCCATATGCCGCACTGGGCACTTATCCATCAAGCAGCGTTTTAATTGAAGAAAAATGATGTCAAATTGCCCATTTCTCTATACTTTTAGGCTTACAATTATATCTTAAGCTTTATTTATATCAAACATAGATAACTGAATATTCCTTAGGCCATCATACACCTGTCCATTATGTATACTATTTATTTATCGTAGCTGATGCACTCTCCTATGCTCGCGCGCCTTGCTCACTGCGGCTGATAAGAGTGCAATCGGGAGCTTATTTTGCATTTACCTGCGCGTTAATAACGTGCATTGCTACCAAGTTAACCTGTACTGCCTTATATTAATGTGTGTTGCTGTACCTATTGCAGAATAATGATGTGTATTGCCCGAGGATGAAGAGTATTGCCTTGTAAAAACGTGCATTTCCCTATAACAACGATTACTGCTATACAATGAAGAGTATTGTTATATAATGTATATAATGAAGAGTATTGTTATATAATGTATACAATGAAGAGTATTGTTATATACATAATGTATACAATGAAGAGTGTTGCTGTGCAGGAGAAGGTTGCGAAGGCGGTGGCTGCGGTGCAGCGGGGAGAGCAGAACTACAACTACTCAATACAGCACAAGAAGGAGTTCCGCAACCCCAGCATCTACGAGAAACTTGTAGAGCATCTCAGACTTGACGAGAACGGCACCAACTACCCCGTAGTGAGTGACCTGTGACCCAATTAATTAGTTTTTTAATGATGAAATAGCATGGCCAGCAATGAGAGAACTGCCGTGTTACTGATGAAATAGCATGGCCAGCAATGAGAGAACTGCCGTGTTACTGATGAAATAGCATGGTCAGCAATGAGAGAACTGCCGTGTTACTGATGAAATAGCATGGTCAGCAATGAGAGAACTGGCGTGTTACTGATGAAATAGCGTGGTCAGCAATGAGAGAACTGGTGTGGCTTGAATTCTTGCAGTTCATATAGTTACGGGTTGAATTCCATAGTTAGCAATGAGAGAACTCATTCGTCATTACTGATGGTGAGGCTTAATTATATATAGGGAAACTGGTGTGCTCTTGGTGAAATATGTTGCATAATTGCTGGTTTTTTAATTTTCTGTTATTTTAAATATCAAAATTGCTTCCACATTTATAGCAATTTTCAATTAAATAAAAGAAATGACACTCTCTAATTCTAATGAGATTAAATGCGTGTTAGAAAATAGCATGAGAGAAAGTGGACTTGAGGGCTCGTAGGAATAGCGTGAGAGCGAGTGGACTTGAGAGAATTATTTCTCTGGAATAGCGTGAGAGGAAGTGGACTGAAGGACACGCAGTAATAGCGTGATGTTGGTCACTGCCTGATGGGGAGGAGACGGCCCCCAACTTCGTTCCCTGACTGATGAGTGTATAACATTGATGAGTGTATAACATTGATGAGTGTATAACATTGATGAGTGTATAACATTGATGATTGTATAACATTGATGAGTGTATAACATTGATGAGTGTATAACATTGATGAGTGTATAACATTGATGACTGTATAAACATTTCTGTCCCGTCACAGGCGCTGTATGACCCGCACTGCTGGGGCAAGGAGAGCTTCTACGAAGAGCTGGCGAGAATACAGAAAGAGGAGATGGAAAAGAGGGAGAAGGAGAGGAAAGAGAGGACCAAGGTATGCTTCTGACTCGTTATTACCATTTAATCCACTAGTGACTAGACACTAGTGGTGCAAAACACGGTCATCTTGCTCTGTGGATGGGCAGAATGTGCTTATCATTCCATTCAAGAGCAATAAAACATATAAGTAGCTGTTCATTTCTTACTTAGATTTTCTTCTATGATTGCAAAAGATGAGGCTGAGATTATACTGCTAATCTGCTCTTTAATGATTGTTTGATACAACTTTACCTACAACAAGCGTTTCATTTGAAGCATTCCCCGTTACGAAAATCAAAGTTACTGCCTCTAATTCCTGAAGATCTTCATCGCAGTTAATAATGTACAGAATGCTGGAGTACAGCTCCTTCTTTTGAAAATGTTTACTTATTTCAGGCATGCTTAGGCCGTGTTATATTAGAGACATGTTTAAGACATGTTATATTAGAGGCATGTTTAAGACGTGTTATATTAGAGACATGTTTAAGACGTGTTATATTTAATACATATTATAGTAGAGACATGTTTGAGACATGCTCTTATACCCCAGGTTGACTTCATCGCTGGGACAAAGAAGGTTGTCGAGGAAGAAACGAAGAAGCGCAAGTCTCGCTTCGACAGCGGCCGCCCCGACATGGCCACGTCCATCGCCAAGCCCGTCGCCCTCATGTCCACCCTGCCCGCCCCCACCTCCGCCCCCAAGACCACCATTGATGCTTTCGGCAGTCTTAATAAGAAGCTCAAGTCCTAGTGACTCTTGGGCATTAAGTTCTAGTGACTAGTAACTTGGGTATCAAGCCCTAGGGACTAGTGACTGTTGGACATCAAGTCTTAGTATGACTATTGAGTGTTAGCTAAGCCTCGATGCTCACTATAAATAAAAATTGTACATTGTTAAGCTAAGTTTGTCAGTATTTGTATAAAAACTTGTATAAGTTGTATGGCTATGCTTTGATGTGTAGATACTTCGTTTCTGTTCGGAAGAGAAAGAGATAGTCAATTCGACAAGATCGACTCTTCGAAACATTACATTCTTTAGCTCCGTTCCAATACAGCTCATAAATATTATTTTCTTGATGGCAGCGTGACATCAATTGCAACCTAATCTTTCACTTTGCTTTGGCTGATGTAAAGTCATCAAATTGTCACCTTACTTGTGATTGAAATAAACTCGAGGTGATGCACGAATCGTCCATGTCTGTGTAAATAACTGTAGCTTAACAGAAATGTCAGATGTAACATCCATACTTTCACATCTTTATATCCCCTCGAAGCTTCCCAAAAATATAAGTAGGCTTTTGTTGAGGATACTTTGATCTAATGCATTGCAATGCTATGTCTCAATGAGGTTTTTTTGTCTGACTCCATTGAAAAGAACTCGCATGACGCCAGTTGCAATTTCCATGCCGCTACTTTGGCTCGTTTACTAGCGTTGCCCTAGCATTATTATTGCCTTCACATGATCTCCTGTTATGACGCGCCTGCAGTGCGTCATCAGCTGAACAATTTATTTCAGCAGTTCACTGAATAAATATCATCTCTGCAGCGCATACATAGTTTGTACCTCTCCTTGCATATGTTTTGTTTGCCACGCTGAGGCTGTTCTCAGCCCGTGCTGCTGGTCAGATCTGACCATTGCCGCCCAGCCTGTCAGATGGTCAGATCAGCTACAGCAGTGGGGGGGGGGAACCATCGCTTAGTCAAAGGTCGCTAATAACGACCGTTGAAATTCATTTCTAATTCCACTGTGTTCATGTGCGAGATTGTTACTAGATAACGCCTGATTTTCTCTTAAAGAATATTCGTTATATCTACTAAGAAGACCTGATGACTTAGCGTAAATTCAAGTTTAACAACCGCTTTCTGCTATAGTGTGAAGTTTTATAAAAGATCTTCTTATGTAGAATATTCTGGCATTCCAGAATTGGGTGGAGAGAACGATGACCTCTTTAAATATTTCTGATTGTAATTCAAGTAAACGGAGCCACTTGTTATCCAAAATATTTTATGCTATTTGAACAAGTGTAAATTGTAAAGAGTAAATGAATGATTATTAGCTTCACTTTAGGATTTTATTCATGGTTTTCATTGCAAAAGAACGTCAATGGAAATGGTAATGTCCAGTTCCCGACGCCGTCCGTGGTTCAGCCCTCACGAATGCAGGTGAGAAACGCGTTCTCATCCTGTCGTGAATGATGAATAACTTGAATGAATAGCTATGAAAGATGATTTACTAGAGTGAAAAGCAATAAATGTTAAATAACTGGAGTGAATAACTATGAATGCTGAATAACTAGAGTAAAAGAGTACGGTCGCGGAGGGTGGGTGTGGTGACCCGCAGGGAGTGCCTGCCTGGCGCTAAGGGATCACGAGCTGCTGGCCGTCCCTCGGTTACCCTCGCCGCCTCACTCCCTCGAATATTATGGCCATGTTAGGAATACTATGTTTGTTATATTTATTGAATTTAAAATTTTCTGAGATTTTTGACATACTTCGGGGCATCCTTCGTTGTATAGGCTCCATGGAAAGACATGCAGGTCGCGTTAAAACATGGCCCTTGGAATGAGGAAGAGAATGTTAGCATTTGATCGTTGAAGGTTCCAGGCCGAGATACATTTCAGCTTTATAATTAGAATTTTACAGAATATTGTTGAAAGTATTCTTCACAGAAACTAGTTTTACTTTATTCTTCTGTAAGTTAGTCTGTGTTATTTATTTTTTGTTGCTGCTGACGTAACAGACAGGCTCGTGCCTAGTTACCGTATTTGATCATTTGCTCTGCTCTGATATTAACACTTTTTGAACCAGTGGCACCTAGACAACATCTTAAGCATTGATTATTCTAATGCTTTGTACCATCATGGATCATGCTGGAATGTTCTATAACATGCTTTGTCAAATAACAGCTCTGACTTCCACACTAAACTTTAACTTTTCTTGGCTCGAGGATTGCACCATTTATTTGATGGAAGAATATAATGGTGAGTGAACGATTCGCGGTATGGTGACTCAACCTTCACAGCCACGGGTGAGTATGAGTAAAATTTGAATCACCCATACGCTTCGTTGCGTCTACAAGTAGGATCACTCGTACGCTACGTTGCGCCTACAAGTAGGATCACTCGTACGCTACGTTGCGTCTACAAGTAGGATCACTCGTACGCTTCGTTGCGTCTACATGAAGGATCACTCGTACGCTTCGTTGCGTCTACATGAAGGATTACTCTCTTACTTATAGCGAGGTTGGCTAAACGAGTTAGCAGCAAGCACACTTAGCAAGTAAAATAAGTAAATAAAAAGATACCTCTTTATATTCCAAGAACATGGCGAAATGTTGGACTTTTAAGTAACACGATTAATTACATCTAATCAATCGATATACTGTAGGCTTTAGTACACATTCTGTACACGTTCGAACATTCATATTAGAATTATTAGTACACAATAGCGATTAACAATTAATAGCGATACAATTTTAAATACAATTAAAGGATTTGTACCGCTTTATACTGCAAAGGCAAATCACTTACATTAATACAATCATTCTAGAATATCTTGCAATTGATTTTGTATTAAAATGTATTGTTGCTCATAATGCAATCAGACCTGGCAAGTCTTCACTTATGTTAATGTTTTTAGTAACAACGGTTTATGTATTCGTTACCTGTTCGTAAACTTTAGATGATTACATATTATTTAAATAAAGTTTAGGACTTTTGCAAGTTTAAATAAAGTTTAGAACTTGAGCAAGTTTAAACGAATTTTAGAACTTAAGCAAGTTTAAATAAAGTTTAGAACTTGAGCAAGTTTAAATAAAGTTTAGAACTTAAGCAAGTTTAAATAAAGTTTATAACTTAAGCAAGTATTGTACTACTTCGCTTAATATGATTCATGTATGGAAAGAATCTGCTCGATCAAGTCAAACTTGAGTCTGCCAAGAAACCTGGTGTAGGCAAAATATTTTGAAGATATTAACAGGAAATGCTATGATTAATGTTTAGGATTGAATTTGCTGACACGACCGTTTCTCATCAACAAGAAGAAGGATTTAATCCGATTTGATTGCTGAAATGTGACTGCGGAAGCTTGCTTTCGTAAACAAGTCATTCTCGTTGACCATGAGAAGAAAAAAGAATTTTCCAAACACATCGCCTATGTTTACCATCAAAGACAAATTGAGTTCAAAAATCCTTGTGATGTTATGGTCTAACGAAGGTTGAAAGATCGTCTCGGTTAACACTTGAGAATTGTACCGTTTACAATGTCTGATTCTTCCGTTATTATGTTTAACATTTCTGTTTAACCAGAAAATGGTTATCGCAAATATCTCATGTTTACCATATTTTGACAATACTATAAAACATTCTGGTTCGTACAGGCTACTGAACCAGATTGTTTTTAATTCAATTCTGTGATATATGCTAACTGAAAGTTGAAAGCCCATTTAAGCGCAACACGAAATCAGTACAAATATTTGTCGCAATATTATGAACTAATTATGGTAAAGTTCTTATAACTTATATATTTTTGCGTCAGCAAACAAAATATGCCTAAAAGATTTCTAGAAAATAATCATGCAAATTTACAATCGTGCAGAAATTTTTTGCTCAATTTATTTGCTTTCTATTTGACGAGAAAAGTTGGAATTCCAACTTGTTGAATCGATACTCTGATGATTATAATTGCCCATAGAATTATTCATCACATATTTTTATCATATCGTTATCTTGTTATTAACAACAAATATTAACAAGCCATGGTTTATATGATGTTTCGTTAAGCATAGATTAGTTTCATTTTATAAAGAATCGAACTTATTTCATTGATTCAAACTTATTTATTGCATCGAAGTTATCGATTATCGCGATTCATCATTAGGAAACGAGAACTTGTCACCCGTGACTTGCATCCTGAGTTGGACTCTGAGTCACTTTCTCATGGCCATGCTCAGGCTCTTCATCAGGCTATGCATGGAGCTTAATTAACTTTTAATTGAATTTACTCGACTCTCGTAAGCACGTATGCTATAACGTCGATTTTTCATTCAACATTTCGTCAATCCCACATCCATACACGAAATTCTATTTACCATATAATAATAGTGTGCATAATCGTATTGCGACATTTATTATATAGCATTGTCAATTTTAAATTGATCATGAAATGCCCAAATTTGACTATTTAAGTTATACAACATTTATTTTATGCTCTATATGTTGTAATTTTTGAGCAACGTGAAAATATCAAGATGATAATTCATCTCAATAACAGTCTTTCTCACATCTCGTTTTCTGCATGCGTACTTGCGTGCACTTGTCTAGCTATTGTTTTATCACATCTTGTTATATTCTAAAAGAATTACCATTTTACAGTCTTTCATCATGAAACATCGTTACACTTTGTTACATCCAATACTATGATTGATTTCGTGCCATTTTTGGTAACGTAATAGTAGCGTTCAGCGTGGTAACCCTGTCCGTTATTTAAAATTAACTAACTAACTGTCCGTTATTAAGGTTTAGAGACTTTATTGCACATTTTACTCTCTTTAAGAAAAATAATCACAGTACACATTAATATGTTTGTATCAATGGAATTCTTTATTTAAGTAATAATTCTATCACATTAAATACAATATCGTGACTACGTTCTCTGAGAACAGTATTATTACCTTGGTGCTAGTAAGCAAATGCTCGTCATGATCGACGCGATCTGCGGTCACTGAGTTTCTCTCGGGCCTGCTAGTTAATTACTAGTGCAGTATCGATTTTGCTAAGCATGCTGCAGTTGCTAGTGCAGCATGCTTAGATGCGAGGCCTTCGCCTTTGATCTCTGTGTGTACGTTTCACGCACATTCGTCTTATGTTCGTACCACTGGTGTACAGCAACAGCATTTGTAGTTTGCTTTGCTCGTTATGTTACCGTTATTCACGTGGAATTTTAGTGTTGTTTTTAGTAATGTTACGTGTTGTTGTTGTAGTGTTGTTTTAGTAATGTTTCACGAGTTAATACTGAGTTAGATGAATTTAAATAATAAAGAAAACAGCTTTTGAATGATTTCATGTATACAAAAATCAACATTCACTTTTAGTATATCAACATTTGAACAGAGTAAATGAAATTTGCAACGTTCATTAAAGCTTCAGTGAATAGAAATGACTAGCTCCATAAACTAGCTGTGCCGTGTGCTGGTGACAGCAGACCAGCCTTTATGTCTAATATATTTTCCATGTTGGGTCTTTAAGTAAATGAACCATAGTTCAGCTGCTAACTTCCTTTTTAAGTTGCATATACTTTAGGCGATTACGTCACACAATTCGTAGATAGCCTACGTAATAATTCTTGCTTTTTAACTAGAAAAGCGAGGAAGTTTCAAGCCGCAATGTGGCCACGTCCCCCCATAATTTCAATATGAATGTACTGATACTTCCATATGTACTAATAATTCCCACACGAATGTTCGAATGTGTACAGAATGTGTACTAAAGCCTACATATATTGATTGATCTGAATATAATGCTAGTATGAGTATGAGTAAAATGCTACTACTGCTAGTAGTAGTATGAGTAAAATTTGAATCACCCATACGCTCCGTTGCGTCTACAAGTAGGATCACTCGTACGCTTCGTTGCGCCTACAAGTAGGATCACTCGTACGCCTGTCTCTTATACACATCTAGATGTGTATAAGAGACAGCTCGTACGCTCCGTTGCGTCTACAAGTAGGATCACTCGTACGCTCCGTTGCGTCTACAAGTAGGATCACTCGTACGCTCCGTTGCGTCTACAAGTAGGATTATTTTTTTTTATATTATTTTTATATTAGCCAGACCTGGCTTTGCCCGGTTTGGCTAAACGAGATATAAGTAAACTCATTTAGCAAGAAAAATAAGTTTCCGTGATTAGTTATAATTTTACGAAAGAATTTTATTCCATGTTCATATCCTGGTGCATTTCTCAAAATTTAGTGAATATGATACGTAAATCTTATCATGTAAAGGAAACAGAGCGATTTATAATTTATCAAAAAATGCAACTGTTCCTAGCGCCGCTTGAACTGAGTATGGTTAGAAAACGTGCATAAGTAACGTGTTCGATCCTATGGGGCAATTGGCAATGAAGAACAGAGAGAGAGAGAGAGAGGCACTAACCGCTTGCCTTCGACGATTCGGTCCGTCGGCAGGGCTGCGCGTTTGGTCTTTTCCCGCGAAATTCGCCGATTTGAGCCTTCCTCCGACAGAGTTAGGCGGTTAAAATGTAGTATGGCCTTAAACTTGGTGCAATTGTTAAATAATAACAAATGCTAAATAATGAATTGCTGCAATTTCAATAATACAAATTAAATTGTTTCCGTCTTTTTATGAGCGGATATGGCCTTTTTATCTTGCATCTGGCAACGCTGTATGTTGTTCCAGACTCCAGACCGTCCACGGTCGTGACTCGTGACGGACTGACGGTGCACGCGTCCAGTGTTTATGTGGCTTCTTTGGGGTGTGGTTGAGCACGGACACGTTGCATTCACGGCAACGTGTTGATCGGACTAGTGAGGTTGAACCGGTGATGTGATTTCACTTTTTTTTCCGTTCATTTCATTTACCTACTTTTGCGGAAGGTCTCCGAATGGTGTAAGAAAGATTTTAAATTTATTTTTCTTAGTAAAACAATGTCATAAATTTTTTGGATAGCGTGTTTGGTGAACTTGGATTTGGAAATGATGACGTTCGTGCTTTTTATGCACCATGTAGGAGATCACGGAACTGAATTCGTGAAGTATTTTGTAAACATTTTTTTTCCGACTCGGCATACACGTCTTCAATCCAAAGCAGTGTTTCGTGACTTGTTTGTGGAAGGAAAGTTAAGCCATAGTGTCGCGTGAGCTTGCATGTCATTGACTTATTTCGTGTTGATTCAACGACGTACAATATGACCGGATAATAATATTTATTTATATGTACTGCATTCGCTTCCCGTGCCCTGACATTGATTGTTGCGAGAACTGAATAAATCGTCGCTATCTTCTTAAGCCGTGACAATTATTGCGTCATCTTAGCCAGATAGAGGCTGACCGCTGACTCACGTGAACCAAGCCGTCGCCGAGACATGACTTTAGCCCCGTCCTCACGCTCAAACGTATCGTCAGTCTTGCATGTCATGGCGAAGTTTGACCGACAAGACGGAAAACTTGACTAGCGTCTACACTGTTCGAAACTTTCCTTCAGTCTATTGCGCTCTCGGCAATGGAGGAACTAGTGCTGCTCGCTGCAGCGAGCAGCACTAGTTCCATTTCTCAATTCTGCCACCAAAATTAGGTTAGAGCGATGTAAACGTACGTTGTGGTTCCGAAAATGGTTTTAAAAAATACGACAATGAGGGTTGATAGCCGGCATCCCTACCAGCACCAGACAGCATTGACGAGTGACGACTTCATTTTGGCACATTCTTTCCGATAAAGAGTTTATTTTTTTCGTTACAAAGTCTTTGTTTGCTGTAGGATCAACTTTGTACTTAGCAATCAATGTCATTGCCGCATAGGCCAGTGCTCTCTTGTTCTTGCCACTGTGGCTTTTTGATCGAATTCACCAGAAACAAGGGAAACTACGATATAATTCGATAAACTCACCAAAATAAATCGCGGTACCAGTGTCGGATATCTTGAGATGTGAAAACTAGAGCTAGCGAGGAACAATGTCCCAGCTCTCAACGTAAATAAGACTGAGATAGAGTAAACATTGAGCTAGTATTAGCCGCGAGTCTTCGGGCTCCAATGTCTTTCTGGCCGAGTATTTGGTAAACTGAATAGTAGAGTATTTGGTTAACTGTCCGCAGGTACCGTGGCAGACTGCCGGTGCCCGGTGCCAGACTTGTCAGAGGTGTCGGACAAATTTACGGCCAGATTCGTGCCCGTCTCACGACCCATGGTTGAACTATATACGGTACCAGTTCAACCATGTCACGACCAATATCCAAATTTACCAATCCATGTCACGTACCAACCATGTCACGACCAAACTCCAAATACTAGTTCAACTACGTCACGACCAATATCAAAATTTAATTTTAATTGACCAAGGAATATCTCCCCAACTAATGAACGCAGCTTGATGAAGCTTGGTATACCTACACGTATTTATTATGACCTAACGGTGATGTTTAGTTAGTGAAAAAATTCCATTTCACCTTAATTCGTGAGTTATAGAACATTTCGTGCCGAAATTTGCAGTGACCAAGAAATTTCTTCTAAACTACTGAACAGCTGATTTGAACGAAACTTTGAATATTCGAACCTAACCTCCCAACGGCGATGTTTAGCTCGTGACAAATTTTTCGATTTTCCTTTCGTTTTCCAGTTTTCTATTTAACCTTCATTCATGAGTTATAAAACAATTCGGGCCGAAATTTGCAGTGACAAGAAATTTCTCCTAAACTACTGAACAGATTCGAACGAAACTTTGCATATGCAAACCTAACCTCCCGACGGTGATGTTTGACTCTTGTTAAATTTTTCGACTTTTTCTTTTTTGCGAGTTATACGGCTATACGTATACGGCTCTTTGTCAATGCAAATTTGAAATCGGCCTCAGAAATTCCTTTCGTTTCTCCGTATGTCCGTATAACTCGGGAACGAAGGCAAAATCGAAAAAAATTGTAACGAGCTAAATATCACCGTTGGGAGGTTAGGTTTGTTTCGCTCATATATTCAGAGCTTCGCTCTTATCTATTCAGTAGTTTAAAATAAATTTCTTGGTCACTGCAAATTTCGCCACGAATTGCCGTATAATTCACGAATAGAGGTGAAATGGAAAAAGATCACGAGCTGAACATCACCGTTGGGTCCTGTTGAATACGTGTACCAAGTTTCATCGAACTTCGTTCATTAGTTTGGGAGCTATTCTTTGGTCACTGAATTTGGAGATTGGCCGCGTGTCCGGCCGTAAATTTGTCCGAGACGTGAAGTCGTGAACGTGATTGCCAGTGCCGGACTGCCGGCAGACGGCAGTGCGTCGTTGGAAGCCGTCGAAGGAGGTCGGTGCGTGGTGTATTGTGGACCGCAACGGTAATGACAAGTTTGATGAAGCAGTTGCTGGCATAGTTGCCAGTCAGCTACTCGCATAAAGAAGAAGAAATCATCATAATATTTTGAGTGCGAATAATCGCAGATTATACCAGCCCCGCTTATAACACCTATAGGCACATTTACGCAAACGCAAAAAACTACGATTTCCAATTCGGATATTTGGGAAATAAGGTTGAGTAGCTCTAAATCAATCAGTGTTTAGTAAATAATTTTGTGTTCGTTTTGTGCCGAGACCCAACGGTTGTCTGGGTAATATCCTGCCGGCTTTTACTTAACTGAATATTATTTTAAAATGTCCGACAAGGGACATGAGTTTTTGTCTGCAGTAATCTACTTGACGAGTTCTCCTCTATTTAATTGCTGTGTTTGTGTGACTGCCTGAGAGTTGATACGCGTAATCTTACTCGTGATAAGGACTGAGTAATCGGGCTGTTGTTCCTATGCCGGGCAGCCGGAGTGAGTAGGTACCTCTTCGAGATCACGTACAGTCGCTGCGCACCGCCAACTAATACTAAATTTTAACCACTCATATTCAGTATTAGTGGCCTTAAATATTTTGCTGATAAATTTTTCATTAAGCGAGTGTTAAGTCGACGGTGGGCCGCTGAATATGCAAGGGAGTGGCGTGCTTAGTGCCTAGCGTGTCTCAATAGTCGCATTCATCGACAGTTAATAGCATCTTGGGCAGTGAAATTTTTTTGAAACGATATCACTTGGTAATTATTATTCACGACATTGAAATGGTCGGGTACCTCCTGTAAAGCTCTAACGCATCTTTAGGGTAATGGTACCAGTACCACTGCTTGGGACTTCTGGTCAAACTACGTGGACATATCAAGTGCTCGCTCTTGAGGTCCAGCGCACTCAAGACTGCACAGACTTGTGCCTTATCATATCGCTTAGTTTATTCGATATCAGAAGTGTCTTGTGGTTGAGTGATCTTCTACTCTTTTAAGTATCTCTGGGCAATATTTATTTAATAAGCATCTTGTTTCGTTTTGTGTTAAACTCTCACTCTTTATTTTGTCTTTCAACTGGATTTAGTTTTCTCATTATTTTAATCACGTATATTAATTATATCAACATTTTGCCCATTTTCTTGAATTAGGAATTGGATTTACGTTCTGGAATTCGTTTAATTATTATTTTGAAATGTTTAGCTAGGTTTATTGACAACACTTTTTTGAAGGTTTATCATCAATTTACTATAGAAAGCAGAGTTACCAACATAATTCTATTGTGCGGAACATTCGCGTACCGTACCAAGTCAACATTCGCGTACCGTACCAAGTCAACATTCGCGTACCGTACCAAGTCAACATTCGCGTACCGTACCAAGTCAACATTCGCGTACCGTACCAAGTCAACATTCGCGTACCGTTGTATATCGATTTCCAACAAAATTTCATTTGAAAAAATTTAAAAATCGCATGAAAGTATTCCTATGCTCTCATTTATCTCTTCATATATATTTATATCACTCACGCTGCTCGTATCGTATCTTGAGCAACAGTTTTTTTTCTATAGATTTGTGAACATTTCAGGAGCCATTATCGTGGACCGCTCAGCACACGATAACGATAACATGGCCGCCCCACTAGACATCTGATATTAAATCCACGTCGAATTAAACGTTATTATGTTGAATTAACGTTTATTTAACGTCATTTGCCTGGTGGGACACACGTCGCTCCTGTTAGTACACTCGTCAGGTTCTTTGCACATCAGGTCCATGTTTTTCTTTCAAAGTTTTCGTTCAGATTCTGAACAATAAGCTAAATGGAGTTAAAACGAGATAATTTTTCATTCTTTTTAAGTAAAAAATGGTTATTGTTACGACAGAAATGGGTGGGAACGAAAAATGAGTAGGTATTGTTTTCTAACGCTTTGGTTTTCCTTATACGATCAGGATATTGCTTTCTGGAAATTATTGCCTCAGGGAATGTTATTGCGTCAGGGAATGTTATTGCGTCAGGGAATGTTATTGCGTCAGGGAATGTTATTGCGTCAGGGAATGTTATTGCGTCATGTTATCTAGGTATATGACGCTGACCGCAGCGTCCGCCCCGAGCTCGAGTTACTGGCGCTGCTACACGAGCGGGTTGCAGGGACATCTCTACTTTGCACAGTTAGTTCATTTATTGCATGTTTTGTTGAAGACAAAATATACTAATTCCAAAAAAACAACTCTTTTGCTGCTCCTCTTTTATTTGTGCAATTTAAAATTATAGCAATAAGACATTTAGTACGCTACGAAGTTCGAAGATACCGACGGGTAAGTTGGTTTGGGAAGTTCGGATTTAGGAAATCAACAAATTCTGCCCAATTCTACTAAATTTTGGTTATCCCACACGTTTATTATTGGCGCATATTCTTTTGCGCTTTATAATTTACGAAGTAATATTGATGTCAGATCAACGTGTTCATGCCTTCCCTGTATCCTGAGAGATACGTACGGCAACTGTTTTCCCCATTATAAGGGCATGTGTCTTGATAAACAAGCGACCTATTAGAGATTTACGAACTGGTCGATGTACGAATGGTTTCATGTTTAGATTTACGAACGTCCTAAATCATAAATACGGCTGGTTTACTATGTAGCTTAACTTATGGTTAAATTGGTAGGTATAAAAGTGGGTTCAAATATGGATTATTACGAAGTTTTTTCATGTTTTGATTTGAGAGTTATTTTTATTGAGGAGACGGAATTGAAATTACCGTCTCCTAACCTTACGTGGTTCACTAACCCTATTTTCGAATATAGGTCCTACAGAACCGTAAGAATAGTTAGTACTATATTTACTAGAGATGACTAGTGCAGTTAGTGTGGTGCAGGCCACTAGTCTGAGTGGTGAAGGCTCGGACTGTGTGGTGCTCGTGACGTCATCACTAGACCTGCTCTCCTCCATCAATTACGTAGCAGCTTCTGCTCCTATAAAAACTGCCATCAACGACCAAATCGCCCTAGGTCAGTTCCATTTGCGTTAATTTCTTATTTTCCACTGAAATATCATCAGATGAAGCTGATTAATATCTCTGCATTTCTTTAAATATTTCCTCAACTCTTGTTTTTACATACTTTTTGGTTAATTATTCTACTTGCGATGACATCATTTGTTCCGGTGCTTCTGCCTGAGCGTTCTCACCTTCGTAGTACATACAGGAAAATGAATGGGTTGTTGTGTAAAAACTGAGACATAATTTCTTACCAACAGCCAGATAGAGAGCGGACGCAGCATTAATAAATCCTTTTGCCTTGCATCGCAACTTTGACAAAATCTCACTCATTTCTATGAGTGTAACAGCAGAGCATCACGACGTGCCGAAATTTTAACTTTTTGGACTGTGTGGCGGATGTGGCGGGTGGCGGGGTGCGTGGTGCGGGTGGCGGGTGTGGCGGGGGCGGGTGTGGTGCAATAGTTTTGTGCTGTACAGACGCATCAGCCGGTAAGGCGGGTTGCGTGGTGCGGGTGGCGGGTGTGGCGGGAGCGGGTGTGGCGGATGGCAAGTGTGGCGGGAGCGGGTGTGGCGAGTGGCGGGTGTGGTGAAATGTTTTGTGCTGTACAGATGCATCAGCCGGCAAGGCGGGGTGCGTGGTGCGGGTGGCGGGTGTGGCGGGGGCGCGTGTGGTCTACGCACCCACCGGTCCGCTGGACCGCGACTACGATGATGCCCGGCGCTGGACCGAGGCCGCGGACGCCGGCATCAAGAGGTCGCCTCTCATTTTGATCTCTTCAATATAATTCTTCAGTATATTTTATCCTACATAACTATTATAATAGAAGCACCATTAAACCCATGAAACAACATCTCTTTGCTGCTTGGAAAATAACATAAAAAGCTAGGCGACCACCGCCAAACTTTATAAATACCTGTTCGTAATCTGCTGCACAATTTTCTATCAACATATTACATTATGACTTTTCGTGTACGTATAATGAACTGAGAAAAAATATTGTAAACGGAATTTATATCAACATTAAATTTAGACATTTCGTGTATAATGAACTGAGAAAAAATATTGTAAACAGAATTTTATATCAACATTAAATTTAGACATTTCGTGTATAATGAAATGAGCCAAAATATTGTAAATTGTAAACAGAGCCCTAGGATTTATCAAAATTAAATTTAAACTTTTCGTGTATAACAAACTAAGAAAAATATTATAAACAGAGCCTTAGGATGCGGTTGCTCACGCCCCCTGCTGGTGGTGGTGGGTCCGCCCTCATGGCGGTCCGCCGCCCTGCTGGCGGTGGTGGGGGCGCTGGACGCGGCGTACGTGCCCCTGGAGGTGCGCGAGGCGCGGCCCGACAAGCGCGTCAAACTCGCACAGCTCGCCGTGCTCGTCGCCCCCGCCGTCCTGAAGCTCGCGCAGCAGCTCGACGCTGCCAAGTGAGGGTGATGTGTGGTGCATTAGGCGTGGCTGGGACTTGATTTGTGACTTGAGTGTGACTTGACTTGTGACTTGACTTCAGTGACTTGACTTCAGTGACTTTACTTCAGTGACTTTACTTCAGTGAGTTGACTTTAGTGACTTGACTTGTGACTTGACTTGTGACTTGACTTGTGACTTGACTTGTGACTTGACTTGTGACTTGACTTGTGACTTGACTTGTGACTTGACTTGTGGCTTGACTTGTGACTTGACTTGTGACTTGACTTAGGACACTCTACTTATTACCTGACTTCAGTGACTTGAATTAAGCCCCCGTCCACACGCTCAAACTTATCGTCAGTCATGCATGTCATGCCAGGTTTGACCGACAAGACGGAGCGTGTGGACGCTCAAAGTTTGACGTCTTGCATGACGGGTGGGCGGAGTTTGAGGTTTGACAGACCTGGAAAAGACGGACGGGCGAGACCTTTGGGTTCATGCAAGACTGACGATAAGTTTGAGCGTGTGGACGGGCAACCGACTAATTGGTCAAACTTCTACTCTATCTCAGTCTATATTGATGATGCGAGCTGTGACTTTGTTCCTCGCTAGCTCTAGTCTTTCATATCCCAGGATATCCGATACTGATTTCACGATTTATTTTGGTGAGTTTATGGAGTTATATCGTAGTTTCCCCTGTTTATGTAAACTCGGTCAAAAAGCAACAGTGACACGAACAATAGAGCACTGGCCTGTGCGGCATTGATCGCTAAGTGCAAAGAAGTTGATCATACAGCAAACAGAGACTTAGTAGCGAAGAAAATAAACTCTTTATCGAAAAGAATGTGCCAAAATGAAGTTGTCAATGCTGTCTGGTGCTGGTAGTGGTAGGGATGCGAACTATCAACCCTCATTGTGGTATTTTTTTAAACCATTTTCGGGACCACCGCATACGTTTGCATCGCTTTAACCTAATTATGGTGGCACAAACTGCGTTCACTGCAGCGAGCAAGGCAGCAACCTCTTTGAACGAGGATAAGTTGGAGCCATTCATTGTATTATGACCTGCGCTTCACGCTCACATATATTTTAACAGTGCGCTTCGATGAATATTTCTGGTCGTAGGCCACTCAGGATGAGACATATAACATTAAAGGTAATTCTAAAGAATTCTATTGATTTGTTGATGACTTATTTTTTTAGGATATGCGTACATTTATGTTTAAGGATAATGCGCGTTTGATGAAAGGTTAAAAGTTGAACGTTTATTATAGAGTTCTTCATTTATTTAATATTTAATTAAATTCTTCAGGAGCGTGGCAAAAGACATCGGGGGCAGCGACCCCGAGCGCATGGCCCCTCCCCGTGTGGAGGAATACGTGAGGCAAGTGTTCGGCCAGAGCTCCTGCGTCAGCGTGGAGGTCGTCAGCGATGATGAGGAGCTGTGTCAGCACTACCCTCTGTTCTCTGCTGTCAACAGATGTGCCAAGGGTGAGACTTGTCAGCAGTCCCCTCTGTTCTCTGCTGTCAACAGGTGTGCCAAGGGTGAGACTTGTCAGCAGTCCCCAGGAGTCACCGCATTTTCACAAATTTCCTCTTACTCTTCCCCCCACTTTACTACCTCTCCTTTCTTTAGCCATCCCCACATCATCAGCTGTGACCAAGTTCTTGTATATCCCTATAAATGTCACTCTCCCCTCTCTAAGTCCCCCTCATTCCCTCTCCTCCTCACCAGGCGTGGAGCGCCACCGCGGAATCATTAATGAATGCGTTGCGTCTGCGTCAGGTGGAAGGAGCGTTGTGCGTGGTGCGCAACAGCGTGGGGCGCGATCATTAATGAATGCGTTGCGTCTGCGTCAGGTGGAAGGAGCGTTGTGCGTGGTGCGCAACAGCGTGGGGCGCGACTGCTACGTGGCGGACGAGATCATCACGAGCAGAGCGGGCGTGCGCGTGCGCATTGGCAACACGGACGCTGAGGGGCGCATGGCCATGGGTGATGTGCTGGCCCGCATGAAGGAGAGGGCCCTGGGGCAGGTGAGTGGGGAGAGAGGGGCAGATGATGGTGAGTGGGGAGAGAGGGGCAGATGATGGTGAGTGGGAATTGCTTTTACAGGTTTTTCCTTCTATAAAATAGGTTTAGTTTTTTTGTTTGAAATAAGTTCATGTTGAGGAAAAATTCATCAAGGAATGTTCCCTTTATACATGAGAATCCTTAATTGCTGTGACCCGAGTCACTTTTATTATTACATTCATATTCCTTTACGGAATCCGTTCCATCGCCTCAAGAAACTACATTTTCTTCTCTTTTAATTAAAAACCTGCAATTCTCGCTCAATTAAACTCTATAGATTCATCATCTTTAGAATGTCGAGGGAAGGTTTCTTGGTTTTGCGTATAGGAAATATTATTTGCAGTTGAGTTCAGAATATTATTTGTAAGTTGAGGAAGCTTATATCACAATAGCTTGTTTATCAGCATATTTTCTTAAAATTGTACTGCTGTTTCTGTGAAGTATACGATATTTGCAGAGAATCTTGAATATTCTTTTTAATTTAATTCAGTCCTTCGCACAATAGATTGTTAATCATCATAATTTTGTAAAATTTTACTGTATTTTGTAAAATATAAAGGGTTTTTCTCTCGCAGCCTGATCCTCACTTGTTCACGTGGGCGACGTTAACGGGCCACTGCTGCTTGGCGGTGGGCGACGGCTACACCGCCATCATGGATAACGGGCCCGCCAGGGAGGCCGACGTCGCGAGGACCGTTCAAGAGGCGGGCGATGCCATCGCTGAGCCCGTCGAGGTGATGTATTGTTGCGAACGGACGTCTGGAATTTTTCTATTTTATTTTTGGCTGATAGACGTATTTCTTGGATAAACGTTGGCCTTATGGAAGTCGGCCTTACTAGCAAAACTCGCTTATGTGCACGTAGCGGTCCAATGTACATGTAGCGCCTTAAGTCACGTAGAGGCCTCCGTACACGTAACGACCCACAGTAAACGTAGCTGCCCAAGTAAGTACACGTAGCAGCCCAAGTACACGTAGCGGCCTACAGTACACGTAGCAGCCTACAGTAAACGTAGCTGCCCAAGTAAGTACACGTAGCATCCCAAGTACACGTAGCATCCCAAGTACACGTAGCAGCCCACAGTACACGTAGCGGCCCACAGTACACGTACCGGCCCAAGAGACACGTAGCTACCCAAGTAAGTACACGTAGCAGCCCAAGTACACGTAGCGACCCAAGATACACGTAGCGATCGGTTATTTGTCAGTGATTGTTGTGTTTAGTTTGAAAAGTTATTGGCTGGCGGAGCTACGGACACACCGCTACTTTTAATAATACGACTCTGCAATGATGGCCTCTAGGACGAGCTAGAGCTCCCAATATAGCTCCCACCGCGCTCTCTCCAGATATTGCGCATGAGAGTGATGGTGAACATCATTACTTCATCATCATAACTTTCAGGTTTCTAATCAGGTTCACAGAAATGAAAAGGAAAGTGTCGTTAGACTTGACAATATTAGAACGTAGTATTGCGAAAGGGAACCAATTATTTGTATCTTCAAACAGGTAATGTTATCGCTTCTTGCATGTGTAAAGAGACGGGAGGACTGCAGTTTATTGGCTGCCACTAACTGGCCACTACCCGCAGGTCTCGACCATCAGGCGGGAGGACTGCAGTTTATTGGCTGCCACTAATTGGCCACTACTTGCAGGTCTCGACCATCAGGCGGGAGGACTGCAGTTTATTGGCTGCCACTAACTGGCCACTACCCGCAGGTCTCGACCATCAGGCGGGAGGACTTCAGTTTATTGGCTGCGACTAATTGGCCACTACTTGCAGGTCTCGACCATCAGGCGGGAGGACTTCAGTTTATTGGCTGCCACTAATTGGCCACTACTTGCAGGTCTCGACCATCAGGCGGGAGGACTTCAGTTTCCACGCCGGCAAGAGCGAGTACGAAGACGTGCTGCAGTGCAACAACCAGCCGTCCTCACGCACCCCCCGGGGGCACCAGAGCCCCGCTGCCTTCCTCATCCTCGCGTCGGGGCTGGACAAGGTGGGGCGGTGATTGGGGAGTGGCATGCGTAGGAGAATAAAACTTGCTGAATAGTATTCTATAATTCAGTTTTATTCGTAAATAAACATCGTTGGGCTTAAATCTTGCTATAAAACTTATTGAATGGTATTCTATAATTCATCAATTTTATTCGTAAATAAACATCGTTGGTATCAAATCTTGCTAGGCTTTTATTCATGAGGAAATATTGCGGGTGTTCACAGCATGGCCGCGACTCCGCCACTCCTCTCAAGTACAGCCACGTCGACATCGCCGCCTCTTCGGGGCCTTTCCCTGGCCTTCCAACCGGGGCTCCATTGATGGCCTTCGCACGGGCCTTCTCTCCTGAGCTCTTTGAATAATTTCCTTCTCTCCATGCTTACATTTATTGCTCTTTAAATGGAATATTCTGCTGTTTAACTTGAACCCTTCACGGGTTATCGTTCGCGCTACACGCGAATATTCTTATGGTTTATTGTTTCAACAAAAATTTGCTAGGCCCTCTGGAAGACATTAAGGATATTTTTTATGTCAGTCGAATAATTCTTGCCATTTACATTAAAAATGTCACGAGATGTAGTGCTGGTAACAGCAGCCAAGTTCCATCACTTGATGCGAACACATCTGTCAAGCCTCACGACTAACGTCGTTCTATCTCAGATCCACGACTGGCCTTGTATTGTTAGAAATTTTCCTCAATTATAATCTATGTGTTGATAGTCGCAAATTCACACGTCACACAGATTGGAGTTTCGATTCAGCTTTTGAACGGATGATTATTGTTTGAACATGATTAATTGATATCTATATTGTGATATTGCAGAGCTTAATGCTTTTTTGGCATTAACATCGTCTGCTGGCAAGAGAGACTTAACTGTTGGCTTGTGGTTTGCAACGTGCCGTGATCCACAATCATTTAAATATTCACAATTAATCCATTAAATATATTGCATAGTGTCGCCATTAAGCATTTATTTGGTACTTATTACAAGAAACTTTTGAACCTACACATTTTGCTAATAAATACAAATAAACTGTGCTGCTTGTTCAGTACTGTATCCGGTGCAGTGCGACAGATCATCTGGAGGCAGGTATTACGGAGACCTAAGATGCCTGGAATCCGATAGATATTTAAAGTTTATACAAAGACGATTTACAATACACGGTGTCTGTGATGGGTATTGCTGAAGTTCATTTTCCTACGGCATTCAGCAAACGGCATCAAAGAAGGAGGAGACAGCGGCAACCGAGACGCTTCTTTCCATTTATCAAATAATTACTTAGGAACGTTCTCAATGTTATGTAACGACTGAATTACACGTCTGAACATACATTCATTCAAATTTAACATCAGAAAATTGAGTATTGCACTTGGCGGTTTTATATTTATTAGTGACATTCCAGTATTTGTGTCCAATGCGATTGATAATGCGAGAACTGACGTTAATCTGCCAAGAAGGCAGAATATAACGAACATGCGTGACTACACACTCGTAATTTTAATACTTGTGTACTAATATACAAAAATTCGGATTTTCTAAGAACTGAAAAGAAATAATTCAGCAAGTAAGTTTAAATGTAGAGGAAGTTGTACCTCATCGCAAACTTTCATTAACGAATTCAGTTTACACTAAAGTTATGGGTGCAATGTTAAAAATTATCACAGGTTGCTAGTGTCATGAACCGCGCTGCTCTAATTATTGACATCCGTGCTGCAATTATATATACAGTGTAGATAGTATCCGACACTAAGGAAAAACTTTATTTAAAGCTTATCCAACAAAATAACATAATAAACGCTATTCTAATGTAAATTTACACGGGAAATACAAATATTGTATCAAAACAACAATATTATTAAACGTTGACATGACAATTGCAATTTTGTAAACGTTAAGCTTCAAAAAGTATCAAACACATCGTAAAAAAAAAGAATTTCATTCGCCAATTATTTCTCATTCATTATGTTCGGTTGAATATTCTGGAACCAGAAAACGTTGAAATATTCTAGAATGCATAAGAACTTCATAGACATCTGTCTAACTGCAGTCACTCATTAACTGGCATCGTCATTAGAAGGTGGCCTGAATTTTACGCTCTTCAACAATGCCCAAAACTGCAGAATTGTCTGAATCAACTAGAAAATCAATTATTCAGCTACACAGAGATGGTTTTGGATGTAGAAAAATTTCATGTGTGTTTGTATAACGTCCCAATTTCGCCAGTTGGTGATACTGTTTGGAGGTGGAAATCATTCCATATTTCGATTGGTCTGCCTCGTTCAGGGCGTCCTACAAAAATTTCTGACCGTACGGCTAGGAGTTTGGTTTAAAATGTACAGAATTATCCTCGACTGACTCGCTCTGAACTGTAAAAGGGCTTGCAATCAAGTGGGACAAATGTTTGCAAGAATACATCAAGGACAGTTTTTCGAGAGAGGATTCCACTCTCAGCCACCAAGAAAAACCCTTCTCTTGAACGAAATTCACGTAAAGAAATGCCGGAACTTGGCTAAAGAACACGCGAGAAACCTTTTGTGATAAAATATTTTTGCTTTTGTGATAATAAATTATGGTGAGATGAGACTAAAATTGAGTTGTTTGGTCGGAATTGTGTCAGTCGTGTTTGGAGACAGAAGAACTCTGCATTTCACCAGAAGAATCCCGGTCAGCGTCAAACATAGAAGTAATATATAATAGCGCAAAATAAATATAGAATTAGCAGGTGGACTAGTCGTTACTCAGCATAGTCTTGGGAATCTATTCCAGTTTTGAAGTCGCTTTCCCTGCCATTATAATAGAGCTCTAGTTTAATCGAGAAGAAATGGAAGACCCGTTCAAACCTTCAGCAACTTCCCTTCTAAAATTTGATAAAATTCATGGTCATGAAAAAAAATTTTGAATAAATTTTCTAATATCACTTCGAGTTTCAAATTTTAATCTAATCTACTCAATGCCTTTATTAATAATAAATGATGCCGACGTGGAAACGCGCTTGAGGAGCCCCTATATATGCTCTACGCACGCCTTCTAAACGAACACTAACTAAAATACGTGGGAGAAAAAATTTTTTCTCCCACGAAAGAAAAAAAAGCCGAGAGAAAAAAGCCGAGAAAAATTATCTCGGCCGGGACGAAGGTTCGCCTCACTGAGGCTCGTGGCTCCTGGATCCGAATATGACGCTTCCTACGCGCACGTTCGAACTGCCCACGCTGATCTGAAATTAGCCAAAAATTCCAAATAAATTCTTCGTCAAAAATTCATTACAAAATATATTCATTTAAAAATAAATTCTTCAAAATTTCAAGCGACGTCCGCTAATGGATTCAGAATTACTCAGCTGCTTCAAAAACTGATATTTAAAAATATACATTTTGTTTCAATGAATTTGATTTCTAAACTCTACGTTGACTGTTAAAGAAAATATGGCGGGCAGCGACAATTGAAAAAAAAATTGAACATTATAATTCCATTCCTTCACAGTGGCAATTACAATTGAAGCAGAGTTGAACCAAATTTTCCCTAAAGAAATTTATAAGGAAGGAAATCATAATAATTGTAAAAAGCTGAATCAAATAAGGGACTCAAATAAGAGAAGAAAATTTTATTTGGGCTTAAGCTAAAAATCATTTTAGTGGTCAAGACAACAAGCATTCAACACCAACGTTGATGCAAAGCATTTCAGTTGATGGCGTGAAAGCATCAAAGATTGACTTGATGCATCTCGCATCTCATCAATAATGGCAACTTAAAGACGAATAACACAATGAATTATTGGCGTTTGAGGTCAAATATTTTAAGCATAATAATAATAATAATGATAATAATAATAATAATAATAATAAATATATTATTAGCGTTTTTGAGGTCAAATACGTTCATTTATTTAAATATTGGAAGCAGTGCTGGTGCCAGCTGGAAAAAGAAGACTAGGCAAACTTCAATGACGTCTTGATTTGATGTCATTACCGGTGTACTTATCGCGTTAATAATCTTGAATATTCGAAATAATAATATTCACCATGAACATGTTTGGGGCCACGTGCGCTAAACAAGCAGGTGGTTGATATGGTTATGATGAAGCATTACTATTTCCATCATTACAATTATGATGATTATGATGAATGATGACACTCACGGCGTGCTCGTAGTCAGCAGACATGCCCATGCTGAGCTCGAGCTGATGGTGATGAAGGGAGTGATGCGCGCACACTGCATCCCTGCACTGTAGCAGCCTCTGCACACACATGTAATAATAATAATAATATAATAAATAATAATAATAGTAATAATAATAATAATAATAATAATAATAATAATAATAATAGCGGTTTCAGCGTTTATTAGGCCGTAGGCCTGCGCCGATTCTCAACATCGCAGAACATTCACAGCAACTTGCGGTCTCGAACTCGCAACGCACTGCTACAATTCTGCTATGCTTAACCGCCCGGCCTTCTCGCCGATTCTGACCAGAAACTGGCGCACAGAGCTGGGATCGAACCCGCGCCTCTCTGCGCCAATCTTGGTACTCTGAACTTTAACCACTGGGCCACCCATCGTCTTAACACTCGAATTATATTCGGACACATAATCTTAGAAAAATCAGTCCGACTAACGTTTTAGTAGACGGCCCAATGACGTGAATTACTAAAGCACCAGCGTAATTTTTGGAAGACTGGCGTGCAAAGAATGAAGCTCAACCTTTGGCTAAGTAGCGCCACGGCTACCGAGATATGGTGAAAACATCGATGATCTCTGCACTAACAAACATAACCGGAGGTTGCAAAAAGGTGGGGTCATGCTGGGGACACTCCTGCGTTTGGTGATTTTAGAGCATTTACTGATTTATGGAAAGAAAGGCGCTATTGTGCTCGTCATGTCCGACCGTCCGTCCGTGACTTCCGTCCGTCCGAGAAAATGCGCTCTCTGTCACTCACTGCAGTGAGTACTGATGTATTTTTTTCCATTCGAGACGAAACGAGACAACGGGGTTTGTTTCGGTTGGGATATAAACTGGGACCATTTCAAACGAAAGGTTCCGGTTGAAATATGAGTTTTAAAATTTCCCCAAATTTACATCTTTTATAACGAGACTTACTAGTTAATCCTTAACATGTAACTAGAATAATGAATTGTTTCAGAAATTATCTTATCAAAATTTTATCTGTTGACGTTTCAGGTATGTTACCATGTACAGTGACATCGCTATTGCCTATCTAGCAAATTAGAAGAGCCAAAGGGAAATTGATTGATAGAAATGCGCAGCTGGAGGAATTATTACATATTTCAATGTTATTCGTTTTCGATTGGAACGAAAAAAAAAATTACGCAAATGAATAGCTCACAAGTCCCTCAGTTCTGAAATTTTTGCATGAAATTTAAAACATATCGAATTACTAGCCAGACTTCGCGGTATAAGTCTACGTAAATTTTTGCGTTGCTTCGTTTCAGATTTAAACTACGGTCTGTACTAATTGTCACTAATTACCAGGCTGGTGGCCTCGTGTGCAGGGGTACTGCCTGCTTCAGGGGTTAATAGCGAGTAGCGGCCAGTAGCTGCCCGTTGTGAGCCTTTAGCTGCCCGTTGTGAGTTTTTACGAGGCTTTTTTCCAACAATCTTTGGTTTAATATGAAATGACCGAGAGGTCAAGCGAACAAGTTCAAAGAGTGTGTGGTGGTGCGTTTTATACTTGGTTGGGATAAATTACTCTCATCTACGGTAGGCTACAGGTGGTGATGACACCAAATACTTTATTAAATGCTTCGCTGAGGTGTAAACTTTGCCTCTACTTAACGGACATCATTACTTATGACTTATTTACATACTATTCTAGTGTGGATTTCTGCTATTAACATTCAATGAAGCTTTATCAGCAAAGCAGATGTTCTAAAGTTCGTCTGATGCCGTATCAGTGCCGACCGGCATTGTTTATTTTGCCGGCCAAAATATTTTGGCCGGCCTTACGTTTCTCCAGCCTTAGAACTAACCAGCGACGGCACGAAGAAGGTGTGTCCACGCATTCCCGATTGTCATCATTGACCCTGTAAATATCGCCACAAAGTTTGCACCCACTATTGGACTGGTCAATACCTCAGTCATCATGAGTCTCGCCTGTTCTTTGCTCTTCAAAATATTTTCAGTTACCACATGAGTTAAATTCGTAGTCAACGGCTGCGCTGGTCCGAGAATTCTATAGAAAATTAAAGTCCACGGCATGAAACTACGTGCCAACATAACAGAGGGCAAAAATATTAGTTGACGGTTGATATAACCTCAAAATGATCATAAGTTCTATACTGCGTATAAAGTTAATAAAGAATCTAAGTAGCAATCAATAATCCAAGATTCGTTTCGATATTTATACATATATATTTTCTTTTGAGGTCGATCCCAAGTTCTATGCTGCGGGTAAAGTTAATAAAGAATCTTAAATACCAATCAATAATCCAAGATTCGTTTCGATATTTATACTTTTAGATTATTTCATTGAGGTCAAATCCTGCCCGACTCCCCACCTGAAAGTCGGGGTTGGGGCCAAGGCTGAGGTCGTAGTCGTACGCCCCAATGGTCATGAGCCCCAAGAGGTTGAGGTTGGGGCAGTTGTTGATGACATGTTCAGTGAGCTGCGTTACTTCCCCAGGCGCTACCCCGCTCTTCTGGGCCTCCTCGCTCGTATTGACCTGTGTTTTGTCGTGGGGAAATTAGAATTTAAAATTCGAACAGATAAATTCGATAAATAAAAATAAAATTAAAATTCAAAGAGGAGATATATTAGATAAATAATTTAAAATTCGAAGAGGTTTAATTTTCTAGATGTGCTCAGCCGCAACATTGGGACAATTTATTTAAGGTTAATTGAATTATAATAAACTTTAGGGTTCAAATAAGTTCCTATAGTAAATTTCTTTATTAAAATAAGCCGTACGTGCCAGCAGGTACACGTAAGTACGCTCCACGTACCTGTACGCGTGTCAGCAGGTACACGTAAGTCCACTTCACGAACCTGTACTTCACGTACCTGTACTTTACGTACCTGTACTCCACGTACCTGTATCCACGTACCTGTACGTATATGTTAAGTCTGTGCTGGTGTCCAGCTTTGGCCCAGATGGCGTCCAGCAGCGAGGCCAGTTTAGCGGAGTGGACCGTCTCGATCAGGAATAAATTAGGGATGGACAGAACCTGTTCAGAAAATTACTACTAAATACACCTTCGTAAAAAGGAAATGAGCGTTGCATAAAAGCAGGCATCAATTATTACAGTTCAAAGTTTGAATTCGGAAGAAAACGGCGTTTTGCACGATGTTACATATGAAAGATTAGAAAATTTTCGAAAGGGTCTATGTCAATGATAACTTAAGAGGGGGAAAAAAAAACTCCCGAGTTTGGTCGATTTTAATAAATGAACATTGGCACCTTCTCTATGCTTGAAGGTCTTTCATTCTTACTAATCTTTGGCCTCATGCACGCTTACAGCCTCATTAGCCTGCATAAGGTATCATTTTCTTATTCAATATGTCTCACCAACAATATGCTTTATTGATCTACGCGGATTATTAATTAATATAATATTGAATATTATATTCAATAATATCCACCCATCATGTCCTGACCTTCTTAGCCTCATATTCAATACTAGTCTTGACATTCTTAACCTTATATTCAATAATAATCCTGACTATCTTAGCCTTATATTCAATACTAGTCCCCACCTTAGCCTTATATTCAATAATATCCACCCATCAAGTCCCCACCTTCTTGGCCTTATATTCAATACTAGCCCTGACTTTTTAGCCTTATATTCAATACGTAGACTTGACCTTCTTAGCCTCATATGCTATAATATTCAGCCTAGTCCCCACCTTCTTAGCCTTATTGCTCTGCATAGGACCGATCATGTGCCAGCGGATGTCAGGACACCGCGTCAGGATCTCAGGGTCGGCAGCCTTGGCCACCAGCTCCTGGACGTAGTTCTCCCCGAAGTGCCGCTGCCCCGCGAGGTACGCCTCGATCACCATCTCCTTAGGCTTCGTCTTGCTTACCGCCACCAGCCGCGGCACTGCGCACCATTCGCTTACCTCCTGCGCGGTGCACGTATATACGCCTCAGTGAGTGTTGCTCGTAGTTGCTAGTGAGCAGGAAAAACACGTTTGCGGCTCATATTTGATGATGAGAAGGAAAAATCCGTTTAGGTTGTTCATTGTGCGCGGTCCACATACAAATGCCGCAGTGAGTGTTGTTCATAGCTGATAATGAGCAGGAAAAAACACGGTTTGGTGGTTCATTGATGAGCGAAAGTTCGTATAAGAACAAAGCCGATCATTTCGCTCATACATTCACGACTTTTCAGTCTGTCATAAGGACAACGACAAAGGTGCGCGGTTTATTGTATGTTCTAGACTTGTGGCAACTGGAAAATTGATACATTTTAAAAATTTATAGTTTGACTCGTAACTTTACGTGACGATCACTGAGTCAGAGATGAACTCTCAACTTGTCCCGTCTGGCCAATTTGGTAAGCAATATAATAAAAGTACAATTTGGTACTTTTCTCTTCACGACGAAAAGATTGTCAGACAACAGTCCCTAAAAAAGGAAAGCATAAGAATGAATTTGTAACTAAACTAAAACTTAGCTTCGAAGAATCAATTTTCATTGCAGAATTTGACATTTTTTTAATCTTTGGCCTCTCTGAAAGCCGGCAAAAAATTCTAACACTACGAATCAAAAATAAAATAAATAGCGTGAGAAACCTATAAGAATTTCCTCAGTTTCCCGGACCCGATGCCTGGCCAAACATGCTGAAGAAAATTCAGTCATCACCTTCAAATAAATCATCCGTGCTAAACAAGACTCACCCGGGCTACATTAAACTCACACGCACTAAATAAGACTCACCCGGGCTAAATTCAACTAACCACGGCTGTACTCAACAAACCCGGATTAAAGTAAACAAATACGAGCTGAATTAAACTCACCCGAGCTGAATTCAACTCACCGGGGAGCGAGCAGCAGTAGCAGCTTTGATCTTCAGGACGACAGCTCTGAGCGCCTTGGTCACCTCGCCTCCATCGCCCGCCATCACACGGAACATCCACGACGTCGTGAGCAAATAAAGCAAGTCTCAGATGCACGCAACTGCTACCAACATCGCACGGAACATCCACGACGTCGTGAGCAAATAAAGCAAGTCTCAGATGCACGCAACTGCTACCAACATCGCACGGAACATCCACGACGTCGTGAGCAAATAAAGCAAGTCTCAGATGCACGCAACTGCTACCAACATCGCACGGAACATCCACGACGTCGTGAGCAAATAAAGCAAGTCTCAGATGCACGCAACTGCTACCAACATCGCGGCAACCACGTGAATTGGTGGCGTAATTCAATACAAACTCAAGACGCGTATCGTTGATATGTTAAATCAATTTCAATGAGTATTCCTGGATAAAAAGTTTCGTTTTATGCCACTTTTTCTCGTTCCTCAATTTTATTTTATATGTATTATTTTTAATAGGTACTGCGATGCATTGCAAAACTGTTTTTCTGGACCAATTTCCTCGTAACAGGGTTCGTACCGGTATTTTGAAAAAAATTTCATGACTTATCCATGACTCTCCGTGGCCATTAATATAATTTTCGACAGGCTTAGCATGACTGAAAGACTAACCGTGCATATTCTATCATCTCCTACAGTTGATAAATATCAAACGTGTAAATGCATAGCTAGTATTCATGGCTCTGCAAAGCTGCTTCCCCCATATTTGACACATCGAAGTCTTTCGAGCACAATGTACATATCGCCATACCTTCATGCTCGCGATGGCGAGCGAGCCAGTCACGATAACATTTAGTCTTCCACAAGTCATGAAATTTACACTTTCCAGACATGGTGATGTAGAAATTGCACGCTGAAGATGGAACGCTGCCACTGCACATCAAAAAGTTGTCGAATGCAACTGAGCTTGGTAAGTGGTAACCGAGTTCACCATAATACGGCTGTTTTTTTTTTACCAAATGATGCTCCGTTCAGCTGTTTCTCTTCTTCAATGTCGAGGTCTGCACAATTCGCTCACGTAATAGCACTGTACCGTTCGCCTACTGAGAGTCAAATGAAATTTGCCTATACTGATATGATCAAATAATCACGTGACCGACGGTCACGTGATTGGAGAACGAATCAGAACGCATGAAACAAGAGACTGCACAAACAGTGAACACACGCAGCACAGAAATACATTTCCTTTTTTTCTTTTATTTGCAAATTCCATTACTTTCCATAACCTGAACTGGAATTCAATGACTTTCCAGGCCTGGAAAATGAAAAATCTAATTCCATGACTTTCCATGACCAGTACGAACCCTGTCGTAAGCATGCAATTGTATTATCACGTGTATAGAGAAATATATATGCACATAATTTTAATTTCTTCTACTCAGGTACTTATCATTACATAGTTTATTTCACATATTTACTAGTGATTTCTAATATGCAAAAATCGCTACTCCAGTGGTTAGGAGCCCGGGGGTGCCCACTGCGAGTCCCCAGCACTCGATCTTCACTTGCTTGCTCGCTCTTCTTCACATCAAAGACAAACTCGTCTTGGGGCAGCTACACTTGGTCAGATAAATAAGAATAAAAAAGTTCGTATCGGATAGGCGGTAGGCGTTTGGCGAAGTGGAATACACCGCATACTTCCCGCTACGTCAATCGTGCACATGCGATTCGCTACACTCCCTCATACGTGACGTGAACCATATAATTTAATATATATTCATTGTAACGTCAACTTTATAACCATTAAATGATCTGGACCCGTTACATTTTCTTGACGATTATTGCTATAGCGGTAACGGAAAAGATTGTAATTGACTGCGGCCGTCAATTAACTGATCAAAGATAACCAGTTACAACAACTTTGCTTGCTTGTAGCCACTTCCGCTAAAAATTGAACTGATGTTTTTCCGGCAGAAGCTTAAATTATTCGCATGAATGATTTCTCGGTCTCAAATTTCTTATTGCACATCAATTGATCATCCTACTGGGCCATAATGATAGCAAGGTAATACGCAATGGTAGTTAGTAATCAATACGCAATGGTAGTTAGGAATGGCTGTTTCAAGGAATCTCCGAGAAACGCAAGCGAGATACTCGGGAGATGCTTGCAGTTCTGCTAACGTCGCGTATCACTTAGAACATATGTAAGTATTTATATCATTAAGTTAAATTGTAAGTTCAGCAAGAATGAAAAGGCAAAGAAAACGCTTTGGAATCTTCACAGAGAACTAACTTTATGGCCTCCACTTCGCTCCACTCTTAATTTTCTCGCGCGTGCAACGTGAAGATCGAATGCTCCATGCGGGTGTGTACAGACACGTACAAAATATACAACACAAATATGTTGGAAGTAATAACACAATGTTATTACTTCCAACCATACAAAATAACTCAGATAAATTCATAACCTATACTTTGCTTCCGGTAACATTCATCCTCCCTGTGTCTATCGAAATGACGAAAAATGGCATCATTCAAAGAGAATTGCGTGTAGTTGGCGTGGAATGAAATGCTACCTCCAAAATTATACTCTTTTATTCACTAATTATCTCGACAGTATACAGAAAATTTGGAGAGCTTATCACGAACAAATGAGCTTAAAGTAGAGAAAAGATTTAAAGATTAATTACTTCGTCACAAATGCTCGAAGTCTCCATATAAGAAAATAAAATTGATTTTAAAGATACACTTACGCTGGACTTCTTACAAGCTCGAGTTCTCATACACACGAGGATAGAAATACTAATTCAAAAAGTTTATTCTAGGAATTTCTGTCAAATAATATGTGTTTAAATACGTATAACATAATGCGGGAAATTTCTACACCAGAAATAATGATAAAACGCATATAATAGAGACAATACAGTAATTATTTAGACACAAGTCAATGCAACAGATTAAAGGATAACGTTTTCTCGCATCTTCTCTTCATTATCGTTAGAAAAAAATCACCAGCCAATTTACATACAGTCACGAGATCCGAAATTTTCTAAAATAAGTTCCTCACATAATGCAGACAAATCCAACTCAAAATAATGTTACCAGAAACAATAACTTCACGTAATAATACAATTAGTAAACGGAACAACTAATGTCGCAGGCTGAAGACCAAATGCTATCTGAGACCAGAAGCTTGTAAAGACCAGGGCCTATACTTCCAAAAAAAGTTAAGAGATCGTAAGTTCATCAGCCAATCATTGACGGCCTTTCAAGCCAAATCCACCAATCGTAGACAAGAAAATAGAGCGTAATTACTTACGTTCATTTAGCGAGTTTTGAAAGCATGGCCCCAGGAGGCCAACACTGTCCATGAATATCAATTGATTTGGGTGATGCATTAATGATGAACGGATCGACTTAAACTTGCGCAACTCTTGAGCGCGTGAAAACCTGCAAGTGACTCATGCGTTGATGCGTGCGCTTACATGCGTAGATGTAAGCTCGATCCGACAAATAGTAAGCTCGATCATAAAATAATTAAACTTAAAAACATAAAAGTGACAGTCAAAATTTCGGCTAATGCGACACGCTGGCAACCACGAGTACAGTCGTGCTGTGAAATTATGGTAATTCTTTAATTAAAACAGCGTAGAAATAAAGTATTTAAACATTCCGGACATTCAGACTAAATTGAATGGAAGAGAGAAGTATGGGGGATGTAGAACTAGAGAAGCCTTGTACTATGAGCTATAGTTAGGAGACCTTGAGTATTCAATACTTGCCACGAGTCTTTGCATAGATACAATACTTTGGCAATGTCTACACGTATGAGAAACACATCAACTCTAATACTCGGCCCAGTAGATGCCATTATTCAATATTTGCATTTCATTCACTCAACTCGTGCTAACACTTCATGATAATCACACCATCATGAAATAAATGAATAATTCGCATTTTACATTTTGCAATAAAATGAGAAAGTAAATTCCAGCTACGACGAAATTCAAGATTATTTAAAAGCAAAATCTAGAAGCCGCAACTTCAAGAATATTTTTGACAAAGGCAAGATAGAAAGAAGCTATACTGGGCCTATACCTTAAAAAAAGTTAAGAGATCGTAAGTTCATCAGCCAATCATTGACGGCCTTTCAAGCAAAATCCACCAATCATGGACAAGAAAATAGAGCGTATGTACTTACGTTCACTTAGCGAGTTTTGAAAGCATGGCCCCTGGTACATGACTATACGAGCTGCTATAATAGATATCGTGACCGATGATAAGTGGGCCAAAAGACGGACACTCAAAGAAATAAGTCACACAAAGCGTAGAGACAGCCACTCTAGTGGAGACGAACGTTACTTTGATTGCTCAATGCATATAATTGCTAGGTGCGAATTTCTGAAGCCACACGAGCCAAATATTAACACTACTTTACAAACCCTGAGATTATAGATGCCCTTAATGCTAATGAATCTTATAACATAAATGTTGATCTCATAACGCAATTCTTGTATAGATGCCCTTAATGCTAATGAATCCTATAACATAATTGTTGATCTCATTACGCAATTCTTGTATAGATGCCCTTAATGCTAATGAATCCTATAACATAATTGTTGATCTCATTACGCAATTCTTGATGCCATCACACATTATCTAACCTACAACATCTGTATCATCACGAGACGTTGAATAAATCCAAGTGAACTACAATTTGAAGCTCCCCTCAATTCAACATCTTAGATCCGTTTACATGTTATGCATTTATTTACACTTGACTTCCCTTTATAATCTGATAGAAGATCGATCGACAATAGCAGGATGCTTGCTTGTCTCGAACGATCATTCTACTCAATACTGAACTGAGATTCACGCATACATCAATTTTAAATAACGGAGTGGATTCACCCGAGAAAATCCCTTCGTGTTTCCTCTGGTCTGCTGTCTCGGTCGCATATAACAGGATGATCATTTATGATGTATATGTATCGAATTCGAATTCTAATATTAAATTCGAATATTAAAATCGAATTTAATGCTATATTCGATATTCAAGAAATATGCTCGCTCGATTGCTGTGGTATGTCTCTTAATTGCGGATGAAACGTGGTGAAGTTTTTTTTTCAGTCGTCATATAAGACAAAAAAAAAATTGTCATGTAAGACCAAAAAATTGGGCTTTACCACAGCACAATTTATTGGCTTGTAGATATAACTTGCAGCAAAGATTACATATACCGCACACAAATTCTCGCTTTTAAAGCCCTAAAGAATTAATTTCAATAGCGAATATAGAGTGAGAAAATATTACACTGCTAGTTAGCTCTCACAATGCAATAAAAATAGGAAGTTTAATTCACTGAGAATACCACAAGTCATTGTACAGGTGCATTTAAATTAATAATACTCGTGTCATGGACGAAAATAATTGACGTTGACGCTATAGATAATAATACTTTGTAAGACTAAAGCTGTTTTAATGTTTTTTGTGTAATGTAATGTTTTAAGAGGTACACTATACGAAGAGAATAACTTAATTCGTACCTTCAATACGGATATTAAGAAGGAATCTAATTCTGTATACTTCGCTATGTCGCTTTCATGACATATCAATTGATTAAATACCAAATTAGGTTTTTTCCGAAACATGAGTGAATTCGAAAATGGAAGAAATACTTAATTAAGATAAAATCGATGTGATTATCCACTCTAGAGAAATACTCTAAACTCTCCTTTACAAAAACCGTACGAATATTTTAGTTGCAAGATTTATTCGATTTTCAACACTTTGGAAAGGAATGAATCTACACGATTTTGTTTCTTCAAAATTCACATTTTAGCCATGAAATGTGTTTTTAAATTAGGCAAAACGGAAGAGCGCCTCTCTAATTATGAGAGATATTATTAATTAGAGAGATATTATCTCTCTAATTATGTAACACGGGCCCACACGGCAAGCCAAATGGCTTGCCAAATATGGCGGCCAGTAAACAAATGCTCACCAAGTAACTAAAAAATACCACGGCAACACGTGTACAAATCTTTAACCTGAGATAAAGTCGTGATATAAATTCAGGCACAATGACTGTCCGGAAAAATCACACCGACGCGCGTTCTCGTGATTATCGCCGTGGAGGGAAAAGGGAACTTTTTTTTATTTGCCAAAGAAATGCAAACAAAATATACAAGAAAAAACACAGCCTCTCAGAAATTACACGAGAAACAACGAAATAAGAAATTCATTTGAACGCAAAATTGTGCGTAGTTAGTACCATATGTACGCTCAAAAACACCTTAAAATATATAGTAAAGAAATATACACTGCAGAATGCTGGAACACTGGCCGACGTGAGAAGAGAAGGCAACTGAGTAGCAACAAATGATTACAGTAGGATGAATGTACCCAAGTATGTGTGTGCGACGGTGGACATACGAACGAAAATGGCAGTTTAAACTGTTAACACTGCACTCACTGCGTCATTTCAACACAGCAAATGGCAGAGTTTACACAGCAAACACAGCACTCACTGCGTCATTTCAACACAGCAAATGGCAGATGTTACACTGCAAACACTGCACTCACTGCGTCATTTCAACACAGCAAATGGCAGAAGTTACACTGCAAACACTGCACTCACTGCGTCATTTCAACACAACAAATGGCAGATGTTACACTGCAAACACTGCACTCACTGCGTCATGTCATGGCAAGTAAAATAATAAGTTCGCAACTGAACCAGAAGTCGCACAAAATAAACATCAGGCCTTGCATTAAAGCTGCCGCATTTTACAACAAAAACAAGAAAGCCAGCGGCGGGAATAGAGGAAACTGTGTACAAATTCAAGCAGCTGCCGGAATAAAACATATTAGAAATGAGATCAAAAGAACTGAGAACAATTGAAGAATCCGCGACTAGATTTAGATGGCAGAAAAAAGCTGCCACGAAATATTGCGCTTCATGAGATTAAGAAAGTTTGGTGGAAAATTTACGACTAAGTGAGCTTTGATTAGTGACGGATTGACGTAATAACTTCCATGCGCTAGCAACGAGCGCAAGAAAATCAAAACACAAAGTGCAAATGTAATCAAAGTAGAAATGTAACTAAAGTACAAATGTTATCAGAAGAGAAATGTAATTGAACTACAAATGTAATTAAAGTACAAAGTAATCAAAGTACAAAGTATCTTTCCTTCGGATAGATGAGCACGAGCTATAGACTACAACATCCCTCACAGTTCAGATCAAATTTTCAAACTAAACATTCTGAGAGGAGAATGAAGGTGAAATTCAAAAATGATGAGCAAAACCAAACATTTTCCAAACACGTCGACCGTTACAAGCTTTTTTTCCGACCGTCACTCCAGTAAAGTTAATTACAAAGGAAACGGACGCATTACATTTTTTATTGAAAGAAAATTTAAAACGGACGCATCCACACGCCGCCTGCCTTGCACAACACATAAGAGCACAAATGTCATATGCTCTCATATTATAGTCATATCTTGTCTCCTCCTGTTCAATACTTTCAAGCTACACTGTCGTCTTGTATGCAATATCAAACGAATATCAATTGTATTCAGTATTTATTCTTGGAGGTAAGAGTTTAATCGATCGATGTTTGGGGTAAGAAGAGCTGAAATAAAATAACACAGAGAACGCACACTGAGGATATGCCGCTAAGTAAGTAGGAGGTGGAGCAGGAGAGGTACAATCACATTGCGATGGTGAAGTGATGAGAGCAGGAGGCATGGAGCTCACTTAGAGCGCGGCGTGTGGGAGTAGAGCTCACTTGGAGCTCACTTGGAGTGGAAGTGCTTGATGCAGAGGGAGCAGCTCCACTCGCCCTCAGGAGGCTCAGCGAGGGGCGGGGCGAGGCAGTAGAGGTGGTAGCCGCGGTCACAGTCGTCGCAGAACAGCAGCTGGTCCTGTGAGGGGCGTGAGTGTGAGGGGCGTGTGAGGGGCGTGTGGGCGAGTGTGGCATGAAGGAGGGCACTTTATACACAAACTGTCATGGCTGACGAAAAGTATACCTAACCATTTCCCCCGCATGAACTGCTGTCCAAAAGCCATTTCCGTGAAGAATTGACGTCAAAAGCCTTTTAACTACATAAACTACCGCGAAAAAGTCTCGACACATAAACTGCCATCACAAGCCCTTTACATCACCCGAACTGCCATCACAAGCCCTTATCACTCCATGAACTGCCATCACAAGCCCCTATAGCTCCATGAACTGCCATCACAAGCCCTTATCACTCCATGAACTGCCATCACCAGCCCCTATAGCTCCATGAACTGCCATCACCAGCCCCTATAGCTCCATGAACTGCCATCACCAGCCCTTATCAATCCACGCACTGCCATCACCAGCCCCTACAGCTCCACGAAGTGCCATCACCAGCCCCTATAGCTCCATGAACTGCCATCACCAGCCCCTATAGCTCCATGAACTGCCATCACCAGCCCCTATAGCTCCATGAACTGCCATCACAAGCCCTTATCACTCCATGAACTGCATGGCTATTAAAGCTCTCGTTACTCACGTCGTTCTCAGAGGTGCCGCAGAGGGTGCAGGTCTTGCACTCAATGCACTGCCAGCGGTAGTTGGAGACGCTCTTCATCATATTGGTGGTGAACTGCAGGCACGTGGGGTGACCTGTGCACCACAGCGTGTCATCACACAGGGAGGAATCACCACTCAAATATAATATATAGAGGAGCACCGTAGCAATATAGCAGCCATGTCTAAGCATCCTAAAATTAGAACGGTTCAGCGATATGTCGTCTCCATAAGAAAGTATAAACATTTAATATAACCGCTACAGAATTTTTCGTAAATTAAAGAATCATCGCTAGGATAATAAAATAATAACTTACCTCATGTCTCGTCCAACGCTCAACCGGCGGCAGCCTAGGGAATTAAGAGCCGCGAGAAGGCCCCCCAGTCAAGAGAAGAGACACCCAGCCCAGATAAAAACCCGCCCAGCCCAAATAAGGGCCTCCACAGCCCAGATAAGGCCCACCCAGCCCAAATAAGGCCCCCACAGCCCAAATAAGGCCCACCTAGCCAAAAAAAGACCCACCTAGCCAAAAAAGGCCCACCTAGCCAAAAAAAGGCCCACCCAGCCCAAATAAGGCCCAGGACTGACCAGATCTGCCACAGTCTGCACAGGACACGAGGCCTTCAGGCGACAAGGTCTTCTTGTTCATGGAGCTGTCGCCCAGGCAGAAGTCACAGTAAGGGGAAGCTGAGGCCTTCTTCTTGCCTTCCCCCGGAGGAAGGTCCGAGCCTCCATCAGGTCCTGGGGGACCGCTGCTGGGGGCGCCGTTAGCCTTGCCCTCACCCGATGAGGACTTGCTGGAGCCCCCAGACTTGCGGACATGGCGGCCTGAGGGAGGCGAGGGAGTCAAGTCATGGGTGAGTGATGCTCGGGCATATATTTGTTTAATCTTGCAATCCTGGTGTCTACTCATCGATACTAAACATTATAATTATTAACATAAGGTTACTAATCGATGATTGATGGCACGTACGGTTACTAATCGATGGTTAATGGGCACGTACGGTTACTAATCGATGGTTAATGGCACGTATGGTTACTAATAGATAATTAAAGGGCATGTACAGTTACTAATCGATGATTAATGGGCATGTACGGTTCCTAATTGCTATAATGATTAATTGTAACGACGGTTTCTAATCATTATAATGATTACTGAGCCTGTACAATAACTTATATTTATGATTAATGGCACGCACGGTCACTAATCATTATAATCACTGAGAGCTCTGCTCCTGAATCAAACATTTCTCCCGCTTACATGATTGATTATGAGCATAACATAAGAAATGATCAACTTTTGATGAGCTCTTTTAATAATTTCAATTGATAAAATTAAAATATGATACTAATCAAGAAGAACCATGAAGAGGCAAGATGCTATTCGAGAACTGTACGAAGAAACATCCACAGATACGATTAACTACGACGCCAAGCTGCAAGTATAGAGAATAAACAACGAAAGAACCAGAGAGAATACGAGAAATTTTTCACACACGAGATTTCAAATCCGCTAAGTGTCAAGAACGCAAACATCACAACCGACAAAGGAACAAGAGGAGAGACTCTCACAGTCAGCGACTCGGGGGCTCGAGTCCTCTTTTGGACAAGTTCTTTCGGGACATGACCAAATTTTGCACATGACTAAAACAGCCGTTCATACATGTCTGGTACATAAATGAGTGTTAGATACGTGTGAAGTATCGTGTAATGCAATGTAATGCTTGTGCTGGGTCAGCGGGCCAGTGGTGGTCGTGAAAGAACTAAAAAACTCTTCGATCAAAATTGGGACCAACGATCACTCATTCCCTTCACAAGTTACCGCTACCGATGGGCAACACAATTGAACAGGTATGCACAGGGCTGCTCGGAAGGGGCTGGACTAAATTCTTCGAAAATAAATTCGTCCAATCAAACGTTGAGAGAAGAATTAACTCGTGACCACATCACGCTCCCTCGTTAGATATTTGCACTCTGGAGAGACAATTTCGCGAAGACATTCATCACAAGTTGACAAAGTTGGACCGCTGCCATCACTGCAGTTCGAAACGATGGTTGGGGTTTCATTGGACAACATTCTTACTCACTTAGGTGAGGAGTATATCTAGCTGATAATGTAGGTCCTATAAGCTATAAGTGGAATAAACCGAAGTGAATTACGTACAATGCTTCTTCGGATTACTTAATTAATACATTATTTGACTGAAGACCCAAGCGAAATAAAAATGTGAAGGCAGTGAGGTGAAGTGAACGATGCGTGGCTGTGTTTTCAAGTTGATGTAACAATGAATAATCATGATCCATGATAAATAAATGAAGAGTTTAGAGGGAAGCAGCGGCTGCGTCTTAATGTGCTCGCCTCCACATGCTTACACTCATTCCACTATTGTGCAATTCTCCGTAGTTAAGCGATTAGTTAGTTAATAAGTCAAAGGGATGTGACAGCATGCAAGGCATGCAGACAAACATGTAACTAGAACAAAATGACATTAAAAATACTTTATGTAAATCATGCACAGCATGCTATTTAGAGTATCATAAGCGAACCATACACAACATGTGGTACAAGAAGCCCAGTATGTCAAGAGAAGCATTACGTTCTCTTATGACACTCAAAGTTTAGTATTAACATCATTAGTAGCATCAGGTCACTTAACTAGTGAGTGGGAAGCCAACGCCAGGATCACTAGTTCTAGATGCGTGTAGCGCTAGCAGAAACTACGGGAAACATTGGTACTGGTAGCTGTAATGATAATGGAGTCTACAGCTACATTCACAACGCATTACATAAAACATTATTAGGTAAAAGTCCAGCGATACGTTTGGACGCTTACATATTTAATTCAGGCCTTCAGTAATAGCATGGTTTTCCAGCGCTTCAGCCATCAAACTATTTCGCACCATGCAGAGGTCAAGATTCAGCATCGCCGGCAAGGCGTAAGGTCTTTATTATTGAAAATTTCTCTTATTGAATATAGGTAACTGCAATGTTGAAGTCCTTACAGGAATAGGAAGTTCATAGAAAGAAGTTCGATATTTTCTACAGCATTAAACAAAAGCAACTGAAGTAAACTTATAGGGTTTGTAGCGATTTAAAACCCCTGTTCGTGCCATACCACTACTTTCGTCACTACTTTTAGAACTACTTTCATTACTAGGTACTATTACTACAATTTGCATAACCACTATTATTATTACCTCTATTACTACAAAAACAGGATAAACGAGAGCATCGCAGCAGCCGGACACGACATACACGGGTTAATTTCAAATAAAGAACCTATCTGCTTTCGTACTTGAAGATCATTTTTGATAGAGCAGAACAGATCCATGGAAGCATATACTCGTAAAATAATTCTTACTTTATTTCCGATTCAAACAATTCATTCCATCAAATATTCAAGACATAAGCTGAGCATTCGGCCATTGAATATCGTCTATCTTGAAATTAATAAAAGAGTAGAAATGCAAATAATAAAACATAACACAAAAACACATTGCACATTTTTCCCAGCAACATGACTTTATTTTACTCGAAAATATTTTTAATATTCTTCATTTATTTACTGTTCTCTCCGAATCAAGCGATGATCAAGCAGTAACAAAATTCGACTGACTAGCTTCTTTGGTAATTCAGAGAAATCGTAAAAAGATACCAAATACTACGAAGTGAATAAAGGCAACCGCAAGGACATACCAAGTCAAACCACGATCAAACCAGCAAGTCGAACACCGAAGGTCTAATTTCTCACGTAGTGCCTTCTCAAGAACTAATCTCGTAGTGAATGCAAGCATGTCAACAGAAAAAAACGAAGAGCCCCAGGAGTCCATTCAAAAGGAAGGCAAGAAGGTCAACAAATTGGACAGGCAAGAACAAGAAACTGCAAAATCCAAGCCAAGAGCCAAAAGGCTTCAGGAAAACCAAGTAGCAACGCGTAGTTGAGACCAGCAACTCCAGCAGCTTTCTGGATTTTTGGTATACGCTAAAAAATCCATTTCGAGAAAAAATCCATTTCAAAACGAACAACAATTGAAGCAGATTTTTTACCGAACGGCGCTGACTGATCATAAGTGTGGGACTAAAGAGATCGAAGCAGATCGATAGCGAACAATTTTAAACCGGAATAAAATTCCCAGGAAAAAAATTAGGGGCGAAAGAGACACAATATTGAGACAAGTTATCTTGGGCGGGAAGAAGTAGCTTGCTAAGAACATGTCAAACCTGCAGCATCAGGACCATCAGCAGGTGTGTTGCGGAAAGGGTGGTGAAGAGCCCCCGGTGCTGGTGATGACGCCGTGGGGAAATGTGGTGGCAGGTGGTGGGGTGGAGCATAGGGCGGCATACCCATGAGCGGCGGGTATTGGGATGACGGCACAGCTCCCCCAGGTGCCCCGTAGGGATGAGCGATATTGGGCACCCCAGCCGACGGTGGAACACCCGCTCCCCCAGCCCCGACAGGCGGGGTGCCTGTAGGTGGTGGTGGTGGAGGTGGGGGTGAAGTGGTGGTGGAAGAGCTCTTGCTGGAGGCGTTAGAGGAAGAGGATCTGTTCTTTGGCGGTATTTCCATCTTGTGCTCTTTATGGGAGTGCGCGTAGTGATAGGTCAGGCCGGGCCGAGTCTTGTAGCGCATGCCGCAAACTGAAACCAAACACCGCGCTACTGCCTCCGATAATATCCTTCATTTACATTTCATTTACTTACTAATAATATATTAGCAATAATAGTAAACGACTCACTACACATATAAAAACAAGCAAAAAAGACCATTGAGTGTCGCTAACTCCGAATACATACTAAATGCAGTCATTGTCAACTTGGTTGCGATACGTTACGTCATTAAGCTACGGCAAAACGAGACTGCTTCTCGCGGCGATATAGAATTTATTAGCACACAATATATAATGTATGATTATCTTCTCCAATTATTTTGTATCAGCTGACATCCTGAGTCATAATAATCACAACGACTAGAAAACGCGCTCATTTCCCTACAAGCAGCAGAAAATAAAACTTCAAGTCAATAATTGATTTAAACGAGCACCTAAGCAGTAATTTTGCACGTAGTTTATTCTTGACTTGCAAACGAAATAAGTGCATGGATGAGACCAGGGAACTTTTTTTTCCTGCTTATAAAAGCTACACAGAAGAGCACAGAAAAACCCTCGTTCATAATGAACCATTTGTTCCTGTAATTGGTCGTAGCGGTGCGCAGCCATTAATGTTATTAATGATATTATATGCGTAGGAATATGAATCATTTCAACTGCCCTGCACTACTACTCTACGAATGCCTGCACCGCGGTCAACAGCTCGACGTCACTCGGAGAAATGAGCAAACTTTGTCCAAATAATGATGCATTTTAGCCCTCATGTGAATCATCGAGATCCAGTTCAGCGTGGTATGCGTATCAGCGCTACGTGCAGACAGTGTTTCACAATTTAGACAATAGGAACCATTGATTTGTATGAGTATGCCACTGCGTACCACTTCTACACAAACTAAGTTATTGCAATTACAACTTCATTTCTTCACAATAAGACAATTGCTCATTGTTCCGTCATGGGCTGGCCATGATACCGATAATTCAATTTAATCAGGAATAATTAATAAGAGGCTTTTCTATGAACAATCAATCGGTGCAAGTTTCATCGGAAAATTTAGTGAGTCATTACGTCATAGGAAGGCTAGAAAATTTTACCAAGCTTGGTAGTGAAAATTTTCGTGAAGCAAGTAGTTTTTAGTGAGATAATTTCCAAGTAAACATTCAGTGCATGTAATCAATAGATAGAGAGCGAATAAAATTTTCTTCTCTCGATGTCCCGTCAATTTAATGTTGAACAAATTCTGGGTAAGAGCTACTGGCAAGTAGAATTCTTCGATTATTAGAGTGACACATGGGATCGAATATCCGACGCTTAATAATCCTCAACTGCAAAATAATAAAAATCATCGTTACCGAAAAGCATTACTCAATAAAGAATATGCCAGATGCGCCAGTGAATTACAGATTACAGGGGCTATTGTGAGTCGGTGCACATTTAAGCCAAATATTAATTAGCATTCCTTACATTGCGTGGTAATTTGCGTCGAGAACGGACAATTGATTTAAGTTAGGAAGTTGAGTAATAAATAAGGTAGGGTTATTAGTGCAGCAAGAAGCTCATGCCACGCACAGTTAGTGGCAACACAAGGTAAGTGTGAAGGGTGAGTGGAGTGCAAATGAAGAGGTAAGTGTGAAGGGTTAGTGGTGTGCGCATCAGAGTTACGAAGTGATTCGTGTGGATGAAGAACTTCTTATAAGGTGGATGATATACTGTACATCCTCCTGATATAAAGTATGGTCTGGTGGATGAAAGATATCCTTGCGGAACAAGGGCCACAATATGATGACAGAACGAGAGGTTTGTAGTGAACAACAGTGAAGAGAAGCCAGGTCAGCGTGAACTGATGGCAAGAAATTGGCTTCGTGAAGCGAAACGGAGAGAAAACGAAAATTTTACAAGACGAGCCTATAATGAAGAACTGCAATGAAGTGAATAGTAACATTGAACAGAATCTTGACAATTGTCAATAAACTGAAATAATTTTGATATTCAGACAATATTTTTGACTGCATCGGGGTACTAAGTGGATGATCAAAATCTGATGTCCCTGGACCGACATGGTGCCTGGACCGACACGGTGCCTGGACCGACATGGTGCCTGGACCGACACGGTGCCTGGACCGACACGGTGCCTGGACCGACATGGTGCCTGGACCGACATGNTTTGCTCTCAGGGCATCACTCTCACGCCCCCAACATGTCCCAGAGAACATGCATCATTCTCACGCCCCCAACATGCCCCAGAGAACATGCATCGCTCTGACGTTCGCAGTGGTAAGGTTTGCTCTCAGGGCATCACTCTCACACCCCGAACATGTCCCAGAAAACATGCATCACGCTCACATCCCGAACATGTCCCAGAAAACATGCATCACGCTCACATCCCCAACATGTCCCAGAGAACATGCACCACGCTCACGTTCGCAGTGGTAAGGTTTGCTCTCAGGGTCGTCGTTGTCCTCGACGGGCGGGGGCGGCGCCCTCGCCTTCTTGCTGCCGCCAGACTTGCCCCCCGGCGTCTTGGGCTGACTCTTCTTCTTAGAGGACTTCTGCGAGAGGGGAATGAGGGTGAGGAATTGCGTAAATAGTGAGGGGAGAAATGGCGTTAATAGTGAATATTGAATAACGGTGGAGCGGAAAATAGAAAGACATTAATAGTGAGGGGTGACGCGGGGAACGACAATTATTTGTAATGAAGAGGGCAATGACTTTGATTAACATGAGGCGAGGAATGACATTCATTGCACTGAGGTAAGAACGAGGTCAGTGACTTCCCGGGAAGGCATGTCAGATGGGCATCATATCAGACTGACGGTCATAAGTGAAAGATTATTGCATTAGTATTTATTTCATTTATGAAAATATTGAACAATTGACAAGAAGAGAGACGAAACAGATGGAACACATTCGTAGAGAAGCACAAGGGGGAAGCTTAACTACAAAGAGAAATATAACTGAAGCAACAAATTAAGGCATTAAAGCATCTGATGATAAGACGTGCAACTACAACGAAAGCCTGAAACTGAAAAAAATATGGATTTTCAAGAGCAACACATGGCAGATTATCAGTACTAATAATGAAAATAATAGCAACAAGAATATTAATAACAATAAGTTTCAGACTTTGCTCTTCTTGGCGGGCGTCTTCCTCTTCCTGCCCTTCCTGTCATAAGTCTCGTCGTCGTCGTTGTCGTCGGTCTCGATGTCCTCCTCCAGCTCCTCGAAGCCCGTGTCCTCGTAGTACGTCCACGGGTCCTGCAGGTAGTTACTAGTTAATATAAGAACTCTTGATTTTAATTAATAATAGTACCGTTGATCATAAAGTCAATACAAGTAAAATAAATCGCGAATAAATTAATCTAAATACTATTGATACTCAACAAATTAATTAAAGTACTAATGATTGTCAACAAATCAATCAGTGACACAGACCTTTCCTATCAGTCTATCATAGACTATCATCCAGTGACGACACTGAATGAATAAAAGGTCTGTACAAATACGGTGCACCATCATCAGACCAATAGGTATCACTAGACGCACCACGCGTCATGACAATGCATCACTAGACGCACCACGCGTCATGACAATGCACCACTAGACGCACCACGCGTCATGACAATGCAACACGCACTACCCCAAGCACCACGCACCACCCCAAGCACCACACACCACCCCAAGCACCACGCACCACCCCAAGCACCACCTTCTCCTGCAGGAGTTCAGGTTCAAGGCTGCCGTTGGTGTTGCTCACGGCGGCCACTACAGGAGGACCAGCGGTGCCACCAAGTGCCACCTGAGCAGCAGCTACTGCCTGAGTGGCACTCGTGGCAGCAGCGATGGCAGCGGGGTTCTCCACTGCAGTGATGATATGCTCTTCTGGGTCACGCACTATTGGTGTTGGCTGTAACAGGTCAAGTCAATTATCTGTTATTGCATTAGAATACTTCCTACAATGTATGAACCATAGGGGTTGGCTGTGACAAGTCAAGTCAATAGACAATAAAAATTGCTTTAAAAGTTTCCACAGTAGTATGTGATTTAATTTCATTCAAGTTCAGTTCTCAATTACTAAAACATTACTAAACAAATTACATCAGTTCTCAATTCAAAAAATTCTCAATTACTTGATATCACGATATTATATAAGTAAACAAGCTAAGCATATCTTCTAGACAAAGTGGAACATTGGAATGAGGATAACATTCATGATAGGCAATGTACAGTATGTATTTACCCTAACAAAATTTAGAGTCATCTCAGCTTCTGGTAATCCACATCAGAAGCTGACACATATCTGTAAATATTCACTTAGTACCTGTACAAAAGCTCTGAGATAAGATCTGTGCGGTGCCTTCCATCTTCTCTGCGGGTACGAGAAGATCTGTCCCTGCTGCTGCCCTGGCTGTCGCTGCCGCACACTCACAAATAAGTGACAGTCCCGCTGGGCAACACCTGCAGCATTTTTGAAATTTATGCCACAAAGTTAGATACATTTCACGTATGTAGACATTTCTCACATATCATTCATGTAAAATACATGGTGAGCTCCAATGCACTATGGTGGGCATTTTACACTTGCTGCCATTCACAAATTTGTGATAATGTGAATTATTTGATGCAAGATACAGGAGAAAGCTTCAAAACATCAGATGAATGTAAAATAGATATGATAATAACTGCCATAAAGCTGAGAAAGGAAGTAGTCAGAGGAATAACAGTAAAAATGGCAAACACTAGGAGTATATGGAAACAAAATAATTATAATAGAAATGAACAAAACCAATTTATAGATGTGAACAAGTTTTATTGTCTATAACACACCAATACCCAAGAAAAGTTAGTGTTAGTTAGTCTTAGGTAGACAGGAACTATCTATGATCAACTACATGTTTAGCTATGTCAAAAATAAACATGAAAAGCATCAGTGCGAAGAAGCTTCAAGCTACAGGTGCCATACAGTGATAAGGTTCCTGACATCAGCCTAAGTAAGAGGATGCTTCAAGCCACAAATGTTATACAGTGATAAGGCTCCTGACATCAGCCTAAGTAAGAGGATGCTTCAAGCCACAAATGTTATACAGTGATAAGGCTCCTGACATCAGCCTAAGTAAGAGGATGCTTTAAGCTAGGTACTAATGTTATACAGTGATAAGGTTCCTGACATCAGCCTAAGTAAGAGGATGCTTCAAGCTACAAATGTTATACAGTGATAAGTGATAAGTAATTAAGTGATAAGTAATTAAGTGATAAGTTATACAGTGATAAGTAAGAGTTATACAGTGAGAACGCTCCCGACATGCACCTGTTTGACCGTCAATGTAGGGCTGCCTGTAGCGTCTGTCTCGCCGTATCCGCACATTAAACTTGGCTGTGCTGTTCACGAGCTCAGTGTAGCTGTTGTCATTCATGAAACTGCAAACACATCAAAATCAATTAGCAAAATGTCAAGTAAATATCATATACAATTTTCCTTAAAGGTCCACATGTGACTCCTCAGTTTAGTGTAGACAATTGAAAAAGGAAAGTACAGCAATCCCTTGATTAATGCGGTTAATAAATCCCCGAGTTTTACCGTGTTAAGCAAAACCGCGCTAATCAAACTTAAGAATATATGGGAATAATTATAATGAATCCTCAAAAATAGCAAAGTTACATAATAATTTTGTTTTCCACTAAAATTCATCATATTTTGTTTCTAAATAATAGGAGAAATAAATAAATAAATGTGAATGAATTTATGTATCGTTTCCCGTGCGTATTGTTGACTCGGGGAAACCCTAGGTCTTCACCAATCTTCGTTTTCGTTTCACCATTATCAAAACGCTTAATTATTTCAAGCTTAGTCTCCAAAGTGATGTTTTTACGTTTAAGCGTTCCCTTTTTGTCCATAATGACGGTAATTTATCAAGGAAAATTATGTAGTTTGATAAAAATGAGCAGTAGATATGGCAGCGATCTTGACCAGTTAAAGGCTAACGAGTAACTAGAGTACCGGCATGGCGCACTTACCGGCGAACGTTGCCAAACTCGACCATTCGAATGAACGAGAATGAACGAGACAAAGCGCGGTTAAACCGACTCTGTAGTCAGCACAAGTGCCGACGAAACGGGACCTTATTTAAAGAATTATTAGCTGAAATTCATAAAGTAACAACATTCGGCAAATTTTTCCAAAAGTCGTAACAAAAGTAACAACATAAGATCTAATAAGCAAAAAGTAACACTTTTGTTACGAACGTAACACCTCTGGCTAGAGGCGGGAAAATGATGCGTTGTGAAAAAAAGTCGCGCTAATCAAAACTGGCACCGCGTAGATTAAGGGTAGGTTGCAAATTTTTTTTCTGCGGTAATCAAAACCGTGCTAATCAAGGGATTGCTGTATTGCAGGATCAAAATAATACAATTCAACTAAATGAGGAAAAGACATTTTGCAAATTCAAATAAAAGTATTGAAATACATTTGGTGTTGGAGAGAAAACCCATTGAACAAAATGCAGGCCTATAAGCATGTATGCTGGGATATCTTTTTCAGTAGGCATAGATGAGGTAAAATCATTCAAAATACCGGTAATTCAAGTTTCTAGTGGAAATTTTATCAAAATACTTTGCTGCTAACTGGTTTTTATTTTGTTAACCAGAGCCTTTGCTAACCAAGGTTCTACAGTAACTACGTTTTTAGGAGTGTCCCATATTACCCCCAAAAGTCTCATACTAATGACCGCCATTTTGTTTCAATTGAGATAGCTACACAAATTCTGCCAATCAAATTTTAAAGCCAACATCTGTCTGCAAAATATTTTTTGGCAAAATTTGTTGATACTTCAAATACTTTTTATTACAGACCTAACAGCAGTACCGTCAAACGGGATAAAAAGGGATGGTTTTGAGCATTTTTTGTTAATAACTTCTTACCATGAAACATTTCAGAATCAAGTTTAGGCTCATTTTATAGCTCTTTGCGAGGGCTATCCAATGGCATCTTCAAAAAATTCCATATGCTATTCGCAGGGTGCCAGAGGCAAAATAAAACCATCCCGATTTACCCCTGGGAATGGGGTTATCCGGGACACTTGCAATAAAAATTAATTTTAAAACGTTCGAAGCATGCAGAGTGTACTCATCCATTACTAACAGTACTCTGAAGTCCTCCTCTTTCATTGTAGATGATGTAGATGTAAAATAAATGACATTTTCTGTGATTTTTACTTGTTTTTCCTTTATTGATATTATATTACCATATTCATTAATTACCGTATTATTAACCCATTCATGGGTTATTTACCATATATGATCACTTGAAATCGCGTCACAAAAAGCCTCACCACGGCTTCCTGTTTGTTTTTGAGGCATCCTTATAATGCCTCCGTCAATCACTAATTATCTGACCATTGTTCTATCTATAGCATCACCAGCTGCAAAGTCCACAAATTGAAATATGAGCATTTAAATGAAGGTTTTGACTCGGACAATGGAATTGATGCTCTTTCCGCATTTTCTTCAAAATTTGGAAGTATCAATATATATATTTATTTATTTTGGCAACTTGATTAAACTTTATAAAATTAAATTTTTATGTGTCTAATTTTTCATTTGCATAAACTGAATTTTAATTAAAAAGAACAATTTTGTGTACTGATTGCATTTATTGAATTCTTCAAGTGCGATTTAAACCTTCAATATGGAAAATTTGCAAAAATTCATATAAATAAATATATTGTACAATACTTCTTACTGTCTTGAAATGGTTTCTGAAATTTAAATTTCTGGATATTTCAATGCTTGCCCGCTAAAGGGTTAATGTGATATTACTGTATTCATAAACATGCCATTGAGCATTGACAACAACCTTATCCACTGCAAGCTTCATATCAGCAGCTATGTAGCATTTCTTCTGTACCTATAAGCTTACAGGAGGATTTGTAATTTTGCACAATTTTAATCGAGTCAAGTGATTTCACTACCTATAACAAAAAAGATCATGAAAAACATACATGAAACAGAAAATAATGTTTTAGTGACAACCATCATATGTTTTGGAGAAATAAATCATAGTTCAGGTCAATTACATTTCAATCTATGATGCCCAGTGCACAATTCTATATATAGCATTCTATGTACAATTTTGTTATGACCAATGATGCACTAATTTTTTGATAAGTGAATTTTTTTCACTGTGTGAGGTAAATGTAATCAAAATTCTTTGTTGTTAATCAACTTTTTTGTTAACTGGAACCTTTGCTGAGGTTCTACTGAAAATGCATTTTTAAGGGTGTCCCTAATTACCCCGGGGGGGTGTCCCGAGTAGCCCCGCCGTGCGAAAATGGCTGCCATTTTTTTGGAATGAGATAGGCAAATTCCGTTAATTACGTTTTCAAGTCGACACCTGGGTGCAACTTTTATGTAAGTAAAATTTTTTAATATGGCAAATATTTTTTTTGCTCCAGACCTTAGCAGAGGTACTTTTCCAAAATCGCACTTTTCACACTTTTTTTCAGCAATTTTTTAGAGATGGTAAATGTTTTATTTCTTGACTAGCTTTATAACATAATAGATAGGTATAGTCAAATGGGGTAAGACAGGATCGCAGCCTTCATGGGGTAAGAAAGGACCAGCCCATGGTGTGCATTCTAATTGCACTAAATTTAATTTGACAAAATAATATGTTAGAGCAATCATTGCCTGTCATTTCAGTGTTTGTTTCAACCCTCTTCTGCAAATATTGAATTTCTGGTTAATTTTTAAAGAAAACCTATGTGAATAAGGGTCACAAAATAGTTAACCCTGTTCAGGAAATAAGCTCTGTCTGATGACAAAAAATTTTTTGGCCAGGTTTGTGGATGTAGGCAGGTAACCTCAAGTAATAAGCAACTTTTGAGACATACCTGGCATTCCTACCTGCTACCATCACTGCCTGACATGTATTCTAAAATGGGGTAAAAAAGGACCGGACATGGGGTAAGACGGGACCACTAAATGATCCTGTTTTACCACACAAACAGTCCAGTCTTACCCCACAAATGGTCCTCCATTACCCTACAGTATATCAAAAATAGTTTTTAAATGAATATATTATTATGCAGTAACTGGAGTATTTTGGTCAAAATTTTTATCTTTTGCTCACTTTCACCAAATTTCTTTGAAAATTTCAATCTCGAATAAGGCATTATTGCTAAAATACTGGAGTTTCTTGCAAGTTTCTCGGACTTCTTATTATTGCTAGCAAAAGTAAAGTATAAAATGATAATTAACTATGCCAGCTATATAATATCATCCATATTTTTTGCTCAAAAGACTAAATGGATCATATGGCTGCATTTAATGACAACAAAGTTTTCTCGTGACAAAACCTCCAATGTGACTGATATTGGAGTTGACTTCCCACAACACAAAACAGTAACAAGTGGTTGTTTAATCAAATAATGTGTTTCTAGATGGATAATATTGAATATCAGAATTGTACTTTTATTAGAAACCTTGTAACATAAGAATTACCAGTTGGTCCTAGTTGGTCCTGTCTTACCCCAGCCTGGTCCCATCTTACCCCAATGGGGTAAGATGGGACCGGCTCACTTTTTTTAATCTGTACAGAAAACTACGTTAGATGCAAAACGTCTGAGTTGTAGCTTAGAAGCCCATTGCATAAATGCACCTTGTGATAGGTTTAGGGTTTTTTAGTTATTCATGGTATAGATGCTACAGGCTTGTTAGTGATTTTGGTCCTGTCTTACCCCATCTGACTATACTAAAAATGTTCAAGTTTACACCACTATTTTTAGTTTTGCAATATTTTGATTAGTTTAGCTGCAACAACATTTCTACTAAATGTGGGACGTGGGTCCTGATTTACCCCGCCCGTCCCTTTTTACCCTGTTTTGGCGGTACTATTTTTTTCAAAATATCACTTTTTAACATTTTTTCCAGGGATTTTCATAGCTATTAAATGTATGATTTCTTAACTTAATTTATGCTATATAGATAAGAAAATGTTTATGCCATAATTTTTAGTTTTGGAATATTCCAATTAGTTTAGCTGCTATACCATCAAACGGTTGTGCTATACCACACATAAGAGATGGTTTTGAGCATTTTTTGTTAATAACCTCTTACCATGAAACATTTCATAAAAAAGGTTAGGCCCATTTTATAGCTCTTTGCTAGGGCTATAGAAAGGATATCTTCAAAAAAATTCCATATGCTATTCGTAGGGTGCCAGACGCAAGATAAAAGCATCCCAAATTACCCCTGGGAACGGAGTAATCTGGGACACTTGAAATAAAACTCACTTTTAAAACATTTGAAGCATGCAGAGTGTACTCATCTATTACTAACAGTACTATAAAGTCCTCCTCTTTCATTGTAGATGATGTAGATGTAGAATAAATGACATTTTTGGTGTTTTTTTTTACTGTTTTATCCTTTATTGATATAATATCACCATATTCATTCATTACCTTATTACTGTGATATAACCGAATCCATTAACATGCCATTAAGCATTTACAACAACCTTCTCCACTGCAAGCTTCACAGCAGCAGTCGTATAGCATTTCTTATGTATCTGTAAGCTTGCAGGATGGCTTGTAATTTCACACTATTTTACTTGGGTTAAGTGAATTCACTTAAAAAAAGATTGTAAAAAACATACCTATCTGAAATGAGATGGAATATTTTAGTAACATCATATGTTTTGAAGAAATAAATTACTGTATAGTTTAGGTTAATTACTTTTCATTCTATGATGCCCAGTGCACAATTCTATATATGACATTCTGTGCACAATTTTGTGATGACTGATGATGCAATAATTTTTTGACAAGTGAAATTTTTTTCACTGAGCAAGGCAAATGTAATCAAAATTCTTTGTCATTAATAAATTTTTGTGTAATCAGAGCCTTTGCCAACTGAGGTTTAACTGTAAATGCATTTTTAGGGGTGTCCCTTATTACCCCGTCGTGCGAAAATGGCTGTCATTTATTTTGGAATGAGATAGGCAAATTCCATCAATCGCGTTTTCAAGCCGACACCTGAGCACAACTTTCATGCAAATAAAATTTTTTAATGCAGAAAATATTTTTTTTTGCTCCAGACATTAGTAGAGGTAGGGTAAACGCGGTATATTCCGACATCGTAGGTAATTCCGTCACCTCTCCAGCTTTTCCTTTATATTAAGCTTTGTTTTAGTTCCATGCGTTAGTAGGTTTCCATTCTAAAGGCTTTTTAATAAATATGGCAACATTTTGTGACGTTTCATTGTTGCTGACGCGTAGTGAAGTGTTTTGAGAGTCATGTGAAGGCAACAGAACTTACGTAACGCATACGGTTTTTTTTATAGTTTTTCATTTGTCGATGCGTCCTTAATGTGTCGGAATATACCGCGTTTACCCTACTTTTCCAAAATCAGACTTTTCACACTTTTTTCAGCAATTTTTTAGAGATAGTAAAAATGTTCAAGTTTACACCACTATTTTTAGTTTTGCAATATTTTGATTAGTTTAGCTGCTACAACATTGCAACGAAATGTGGGATGACCATCCCGATTTACCCCACCCATCCCTTATTACTCTGTTTGACGGTATGGTAACATTTTCCTGAAATGATGGAAGATTTTCCCAATTTACCCTGCCAGTCCCTTATTTTTTTAGTAATTAATAAGTGGCTAAATCCTAATCTTGCAAACACATTAATCTGAAATAGGCAAAAAATTTCAAAACAATTTAGGTGGACTCAACATGCGTGTACCCTAGTATGGAATATATCTACTTGGCGAGCCGCGACTGAATTTTTCAAGCCGTGGTTTCATGGATTTGCCAGCCGTGATTCCATTTCTACAAGCCATGATTCTATTTCACCGAGCCGTGAATTCCATATCTCGGCCATGAAAAGCCATTTAGGAGGTGCGAATGTGAATTTATTTACAAAGTTTATGCACGTGTTACCCCAAATCTTTAATTTTACCCTTAAACAGTCAAACGGCAACAATAAAATTTGTCTCTACTGTAAGTTCAGCACGTGTTAATATACAGTCTGACCGCTTTGACAGCTTTTAAGTGTTACCCTGACATGACCGCAACTATGCGCGATCTTCAACAAACGTTTTGTTTATTTGTTTACATTACGATGTTTATGTTTTTTCTGGAAGATATTTTTGGCGGAAACGGTAAAGCAATGCGGATTGCGGAAGTTGAAAATTTTATGAAATGACATGTTTGCGAAGTGCAAACCGCGATTTTTTAATCAAACAAAAATTTATGACATTCGAGCCGCGAGATTTCATACCTACTGAAATTATATGATATTAGAGCCGCAATATTTCAGACAAAAATAGGACTTTTCCAGACTAGCGTGTACCTAATTTAGAAAAAAATGCAAGAAAAAATATGGCATTATCTCATATTTTATTAAAGAAATTAAGCAAGGGTTATAATACCAGGAAAAACAGACTTCAGGCATGGGCATTTCTGTCTTAATTGTGGTCACTCCATCCTTACTGCAGGATGCGTACTGATATTGAGAAAAAAAATTCCATGACTTTTCCATGGATTTGACCACACTGGCCGAGGGCGAGGGGCATCCCACATTTTAAAATTTAAACCTAATAAGCATTAAATATCGTTAATTTAATTTTGTTTCTGTTACAAATTTCAGCTCAATATGTAAACATAATGGGATAATCGAACAAGTAAACAATTTTTAAAATCATAATGATAATAGGTACGGTACCGGTAGGCGGTACTTTGAGTCTGTTCTGCTGAATCGGTACTGGTTATTTTTCAAGCGTTCATTCATGGCACATACAGCATAAGAATATAGAATTTTACCTTGAAATTTTATCCAAAAGTGGATTTTCAACGGCAACCCCTGCCATTACTCAATCAATTCTTCGATCACAATTTATCTCACCATTCCTCTCAAACAGCTGCCTGTGCTTCGCTGATTGTTACAAAAAAAGACACACACAAACAACGTTGCCATTCGATAAAATATTCCCGCGCAAAACGATTGATCATTTTTCTCGCTATAAATGGGAGACACACCGAAAACTTCGAATCAGACCTCAATATACAATGAAAATTTGATAGATTTATGTTATTTAGTAATTAATTTACAGCTTTGTTTCAAAATAAATTTGAGATACGAGCGATGTTATTTGATTCCTTATTACCATGAGTGCTAACTCTACGCGTTATTAGGTGATCCAAAGTAATGAACGGAATTATGGTACCCAAATATTTATCAAATACAACTCTATTCTTTATTTTACATATTTTAGCATCAGTCTCTTCCCCAACCAATTTGACAGAAGTGGGCGATTCGGTACCGCTACCACTGTGCCTACAGTAGCCTCGATCTACAGTGTGATTTACGAAAACTTCCTGTTTTGCATTTCGCGCCAAGAAGTCAGATGTTGTAGGAAAAGAGCAGGGTGCATTTCATATGAAAAACAAGATTATGAAGTTTTTTTTGTCCTGCCTAGTAAGTTGCCACTATGCATTGGACAAGTGAGCAGCGTGCGTTGGCCATTTGTATTATTGGACAAATGTTGGCCATTACTTTTGTAATGGCCATTCCATTATGGCTACTCAACGAACAATACTCGGTTTCGCATCCGTCCATCAGGTCGGGTTACTGATCGGAAATAGATTGTTACGAGGGTGAACACATTTAGGGCACTACTATAAACAAGCAAAAAATGCGTTATTAGAGTGACAACAACTTACGTGAACTCCATCAGGGCCACTTCATTGTGAATGCGTAATTGTATGGTGTGCGGTGCCAAAAGTTGGCACAATTAGCCCTTATTTCTTTGAAGAAACTGAACGGGCAGTAGCGATGAATGCTGCTTGGCACACGCAAATGATTGACGCCTTTTGTGCCGAAATTCGCTAAAATGAATGTAAGGGATGTCTGGCTCCAACAGGATGGAGCCACGCCATACACAACGCGATGTTCAATGTATCTTCTGAAGTTCTGAGACAACATTTTGCAGAGTGCCACATTTTCTCGAGCCCGAGATCTTTGGCCAGCCCGATCCCCCGATTTGGATCCGGTTTATTTTTTAGGGTTATATGATATCAATTGTTTTCAATAACTGTCCAAGGACCCTACCTCATTTGAAGAACAACATACGCCAAGCCATCGCCAATATTCCCATCGATGCCAGCGTTATTTACAGACTCATAACGATGCTGATCATAACCTATAAGCAAGAGCTCTAAATCACGTTAAGAAAGCTGTCGCATAGCAGTGAAAATGTTCTAAAAAAAGTTTGCCATAAATGCTAAAAGCCTTCTTTTGCCTGGTTGCTCTAAACCCTAACTGGTTATGTGGACCCGACCGCTTCAATCCCAGATAACTAAAAGATTTACCAAACGTAAAAAATGCCCTCTGAGGGCATTGTTTCAAAAAAGCCTTTGAACGAAGGGATCTTGTCGGCTGACTGGAGAGAAGCTCAAGTGACACCATTGTTCAAAAAAGCTGACGAAAAATGCCCGAGCAAATATCGCCCTACGAAAAATGCTGACGAAAAATGCCCGAGTAAATAATAAGTGTCGTTTGCAAGGTAATGGAATCTGTTCTGAGGGATCGATTGATCGATTACTTGACTGTTAATGATCTCCCATCAGACTGTCAACATGGCATCATTGCCGATAAATCCTGCACCACTAACCTCTTGTTTACATTGACTGAATGGATTCGCCTGCTGGACGAAAGGGAGCCAGTAGATGCAGTGTACCTCGATTTTGCCAAGGCATTTGACAATGTCCCGCATGAGCGGCTGTTGCGTTAAATGAAGCCTTTGGGAATTGAGAGTAATGTACTAAATGGATCAGAGATTTTCTTGTAGGGAGACGACAACGCGCCAGTATGAATGGGACAGGATCAGCCTGTATGCGTGTGCTCGATGTATGCTGACGACACAAAAGATTATAATACAGTGAATAATACGTCGCGAAAAGGTACAGTTGTAAGGCGATCTTGACAGGTTAGTTGACTGGGCTGATATGCGGCAGCTGCGTTTTAATGCTGACAAGTGTTAATTAATCCACCTTGGCTAGAACAATGAACACCAAGATTACGAGATGATGTCGAAGTCGACAACGAAAAAGATTCAAGAGTTTATGTCGATAATGAGTTGAAATTTTTTAAACATATTGAAGCTGAAGTTAATAAAGCCAATAAATTTCTTGGATTGATCAGACGCTCTCACGAGTTCCTAGTTACAGAAGCGATTAAGCTGTTGTTTGTTGCTGTCGTACGATCGAACCTAGAGTTTTGAACGCCGTGCGGTCACCGAAACTTGAAATAGACAAAAATTGATGGAGAGTGTTCCATGACGTGCCACAAGGATAATTCCAGTCTTGAAAGGCAAGTCCTATAAAAAAAGATTAAAGATTATGAAGCTTCCAAGCCTCTGTTATCGACGTCTGCGTGGGTACCTCATTGACGTGTGCATTTATATCCACGCTTTATACAAGGTCCCAGAAGGATAACTAGAATTTGAAACAAGAACCAACACCAGGGGCCACGGCTATAAACTAATAGTATGCGTTTAAAAATTAATTTTTAGAGACAACACTTCTACAAAATACAGTGTTTCCGATGTTACACTTCTACAATGAATTTCAATTTTATTTCCAAATATTAAAAAAATAATTTTTAATTTTTTGTAATAATGCGAAAAAAATTAAATTTTCAAAAAACTTTTCGGAAGGAATTGAGCTACCAGGGCGTGACGGAAAATCGGCTCAGCGTTCAACACCATACAAGAATACTGTTCCTACAGTGAAGCTGTCGTGGCGCACACGATACCGCTATTAAATACGAAGCAACCACTTCATAGGAGCCTTGCGTGATCGCAAAGTTTTTGTAATGTACACTACACTTTGAGGATAAAAACGAGACACTTGTGATTCCTGACGGTAAACTCATAAACTTTACACAGTGTACGTAGGAATTTCTTATGTGGAATCCTCTATTCGACTGACTCCCATCCAAATATTTTACATAACGACACATCCTTCTCCAAAGAACCATTTGTTTATTTCACAATTGAAAATAATACTTTTAAAACAAATTAAGGAAATCAAAGATGAGCTCAGAAAACTCCAGAGAAGCAAAGATATATACCGATTTAAATAAACAAATAATTATTATACGGTATGACGATCATAACCAAGTTTGGTGGCGGTTCGATTATGATCTGAAGGTTTTTCTGTTCAAAACTTCCAGGAGAATTGAAAATTATTGATGGCAGGATAAATGTGCGGATGCACAGGGAGATTCTTGAAAAAGCCTTAAATCTGCTGATTCTTTGGGACTTGGACGCGATTTTGTGTTTCAAGATGACGATGATCACAGAAATACAGCCAAGCTCACGAAAAAAGGGCTTGAAGATAGGGAAATTGATGATCTTTATTGGCCTAGCCATTCCCCAGACCTCAACTTCATTGAGAACTTGTGGAAATTGTTGAAGAACAATGTTCACAAAAGGAACCCAAGTAATATCAAGCAACTGAAGGATTTCTGTACAGAAGAATGACACAAAATATCTGGAAATGTAAGCAAGAAACACGTCTGCAATTAACCGAATCGATATGAAGAAAACTGTAATGTTTCCAATACTTTTGCGTATCCCTGTACGGACTAAGCATCGTCCTGTGGAATAATGTTAATGTTACCCAAGAAAATTTGAGCTTTTAAAACAATACTTCTTCCGGAAGTTATGACAGTTTATATCAAAAAAGTCTAAAATTATAACATAAATGAAACCCAAATTAAGAGTTATACTCAGACATTGTGATTATTCTTTGATTTGAAGAATCAAAAGATATTTTCTTCGTTTCGTCGTAATTTTGGTTGAAAATGTGAGGTGGGGTGTGGAAGCCCACCGTTTGGTATTGATATCTAGAATTGCACCATGTAATTTTGCAGCTCCAAGAAGCTAAAATATAGATGAATGAAATTAGGCTGTAGTGGTAATAAATTATCGTCGTCTCTGCTGCGACGTCAAGAAGGATCCCAAATATTATGAATTAGATTCCTGGTAGGTGTGTTCAGGCCAACTCCCATGCGATGAGCAGATCATGAAGGAGCTGCCGAGATACTTGCCGTTCATCAAGCACATCTCCTGCGTTGTCGAACTGAATTGCATGTAACTCGACGCACTCTCCCAGAGCGGCGGAACCCTGACAGGAGTAACCGTCTCGTCACATCCACCTGTCACTTGTGGGGTTAATCGGTCGTTAAATAGTAAACTAGAGCTTATTTTGGCATGAACCTACATTTAATCTCTCTACTATTCTTATGGTTATGTACTCATATCACAGAAACAATAACAACAAAAAAAAAAACGAAGTTGACAAGCACGAAGACACCAAGAGCGACAAAGCTACCAATACGCACAAGCGCCAAATGAGAACAGAGTGCAACAACTAAGAGAAACAAAATATGAGTACATAACCATAAGAATAGTAGAGAGATTAAATGTAGGTTCATGCCAAAATAAGCTCTAGTTTACTATTTAACGACCGATTAACCCCACAAGTGACAGGTGGATGTGACGAGACGGTTACTCCTGTTAGGGTACCTCCGCTCTGGGAGAGTGCGTCGAGTTACATGCAATTCAGTTCGACAACGCAGGAGATGTGCTCGATGAACGGCAAGTATCTCGGCAGCTCCTTCATGATCTGCTCATCGCATGGGAGTTGGCCTGAACACGCCTACCAGGAATCTAATTCATAATATTTGGGATCCTTCTTGACGTCGCAGCATAAACGACGACAATTTATTTGCTTTACTGCCTTATTTTATATATTAACTATTAGCTTCGTTGAGCTGCAAAATTTACATAGTGGCAATCTAGGATTTAGGCAATTAAGTTACTTAGATGTTTTCACCGGCTTGTATTTTCAATCAATTTACTTGAAATCA